TTATTTGATTAATCACTTGGTTTGTAAAACTTAAGAAAAATACCTATTGCAAATTTCCTTATTTCTTTTTTAAGTGTATTTTCTATACCTTCATTAAAGACATTAGTAGAGAGATGAAACAAGGGAACAAGGAAGCCACAGTGGCGCGTCCCCCATTATCTTAAAATGGCCTCTTTCTTTCCATAAAATTAAAAACTAAAAGATATTCACTACTGAGATATAAAACAATGAAAACGGGAAGATCTGCACTTTTGAGAAATTGGAACCATAAAATGATTGGTATTTTTGCCAAAAAGAGTTGCCAGATCTAGTAATAATGCCAGATTTTCTTGGATGATTATTTTTTGTATAATGTCAATGCAGTCCACTGCCGTGAATCAAGGTTTGTGCTCTTGTGATTAAATGGTCCATTTCCTTCTTCCAGGTAACAGAGCTGAACGAGGCCCTGTCCAACGAGGAGAGGAACCTCTTGTCTGTGGCCTACAAGAACGTGGTCGGGGCCCGTCGCTCCTCCTGGAGGGTGATCTCCAGCATTGAGCAGAAGACCTCGGCCGACGGCAATGAGAAGAAGATTGAGATGGTAAGGGCCTACCGGGAGAAGATTGAGAAGGAGCTGGAGGCCGTGTGCCAGGATGTGCTCAACCTTCTGGACAACTTCCTGATCAAGAACTGCAGCGAGACGCAGCACGAGAGCAAGGTGTTCTACCTGAAGATGAAGGGCGACTACTACCGGTACCTGGCCGAGGTGGCCACGGGGGAGAAGAGGGCCACGGTGGTGGAGTCTTCAGAGAAGGCCTACAATGAGGCCCACGAGATCAGCAAGGAGCACATGCAGCCCACCCACCCCATCCGCCTGGGCTTAGCTCTCAACTACTCTGTGTTTTACTACGAGATCCAGAACGCCCCGGAGCAGGCCTGTCATCTGGCCAAGACCGCCTTCGACGACGCCATCGCCGAGCTCGACACCCTCAACGAGGACTCCTACAAAGACTCCACTCTCATCATGCAGCTGCTTCGAGACAACTTGACACTGTGGACAAGTGACCAGCAGGATGACGAGGGAGGGGAGGGCAACAATTAAAGAGAAACCACACTTCGAAAAAAAATATATGAAGGGCCGGTAGACTTTGGCAGCCGCTTTTGCCGATGATACTACCGCAGCAGCAGTTCTTTATTTTTCCATGTGTTAAAAGAAAAGAATCAAAAGAGAGGTGAGAGTGGAGGTTAAATCTTAGTTTAAATATATATAGAAATATATATTCAGTTGAAAGGGGCCTCCGTCTTCTTGATTTTCTCTTTGACATTTGCCAAAACCACTGATATGTCAGTCAATCAGCCTGAAGTGGTTGTTGTTGGATTGAAATGGCAGCCTCACACTGGCATAGGAACTGATCTTGTTCTGTCAAGATAAGCTGCTTAGTTAGGTTTTTGCGTGATAGAGATGCATTTGAGTCACTTGAGAGAGAAAATGCTTGAATGGGAATGCCTCACAAATCTAGTTTGCATTGGTTCCAGTAGTAGTCTATATATGAGAAAGGGCCCTGAAAGCCATTGATGTTAAACTCACGCTCAGAACGAGAAAAAGAGAAAAGTTTTAAACCGATTAACCCCCCCGAAGAATAAATTTAAAAGGATAAATTACACGGGAGTGAAAATGAGGACTGGAGAGTAAAATTAATTCCCCTTCTTCTGTCTGAAGTGTATTTGGCATCTCGCAGATTATTCTGTTATGTCACTGGAACCATAGATTCTTTTGGAGGTGAAGATTACTAAAGGCAGAGACTTAACAATATAAAACAAAAAAAATTACAAAAAAAATAAATAAAAGCAGCTTCAGAGTTTGTGGTTTACTTCTGTGTTTGTTTTATTAAATGCACTTGCCTACTATACTGTTTCTTCAGTGTAAGATGATGACAACAATAATATCGATTATTCAATATTGTGCATGCTGGTGATGTATTTATATACAGTAGCTTGACTTTATTAACTTATACTGTGGGTGTTAAGTATTCATATGATTGAGAAAAACAGGCTTTGTCTGATGTTGATTTCTAATTTCTAATTTATTTTGTTTTGTTATGGTTTTTTGATTTGCTATACCAAAATGGTGATCGTAAAAATTTACCTGTAATGGGCGTTGCTATAGTGACATGCAATATGTGTATTTAATTTGTTAATGAAAGAAAAAAAAAAGGAAGATAAAAACTCACCAGTGATCACTTAATCTTACCAGCTGGTGTTTGTCACATTGAAGTATGATTATGATATATTTTGTTCTTTGAACAGTATTTAAGTACTTTTTCTGTCATGCTATCCAGTTTTACTAATGGTGAAGTTTTCAGGCTCAATGTTTCTGTTATGAATTCACAAACATGGACCATATTTTATTTCTGACAGTATACATTTTTTTTTGTTTGTTTGTTTTTATACATTTTAGCTGTTCCTGAGTGACAAAATATCTTGAATGTGAGTCATTATGTAGCAGTTGCACAAGAACCGAAATAATAGCTATGATAATAAAAAAGAATATGACTAAATTATACATGCACCATTTCCGTGGTGGTCTAGTGTATTGTTGTATTGTCACCCATAAGACAATTTTGTTTTTAAGGAAAACCATTTCATAGAAAAAAAAAATGTTTTGACACTTCTGTTTTGTGCCCAGAGTACAGTATGTGCTTTCTGTTTGTGCCTGTATCATTATTTGATATGCCTCATTTGCAAGTTAACCTTTACAGAAAAAAAAAAGGATTTATCTGCCAGTATTTGAAGTTCCTGCAAGCATGTGTGCAAGATGTAATATTTTCCCTTCAATGGTTCCTCACTTTTACGTGTGTTGGACGGTACTGCTCTCTGTACAGCACATAGATATGAATATTCAACACCAATGCACAAATAGAGTCACAGGGAAAGCATGTAGGCAATTCACTAGAATTGGTTATTGATCAGCAAATGTGAGAACTCTTCAGAACAAACATTAGACACTAGGAAGCTGCTTAAGAGCACAGAAAGCTGCTGAACGGATTTGTCTTCATAATGCTGCTAGTTCTATAGATTATTACATTAATATATTCATACAGATGGCAGTTTTTGGGGGACTTTTATTTTTTATCTCAGATGTGATGGCTTAAGAGAGAAACCAGAAGCCTTAAGGTCAGTCACACAACCTCGTTCATGTATGCCAATTATGTCACCGTCATGAGTCAGCCTCCATGAGCTCACACTGTATGTCACAGCTGCTTTGATTTATTTTTAACGTAGTATAAAGCTGATGGTCTCAAAGGCTCGCCAGACAAATAGCATGAAATCCTAATGCCAATCTGCACAATTGCTCACACTGCTTATGAATATTTGAATGGAGTCAAATCACTTTCATGTTTAAGTTTTGTTTGTTAAAACAAGTGGAAACTGAATTTATTTTTCTCACTTTTCTTTTTCTGTTTCAATATGTTTTGAAGAACCATGTCAGGAGACTTTCACTCATTGCCAAGAATACATGCATTGTGTTCCCTTTTAATTCATTTGTGGGGCTTTTTCCTCCTGTGGTTTGTGTTTTTATTTTTAAGTTTTCATTATTTTGGATGTTGATCCTTGTTTTATGTGACATGAAAAACATACAAACACAAGAAATGAGGAGAAAAGTAATTATATTTTAATCACAAATCAGATTTGAGAAGAGCTGACCTACTGGAAATTAGCAAGGGGAAGGGGGGGCGATAGATGAAAATGAGATACAAATTGTATGCTCTGAGGAATTTTTGGTTGCCATCTGTTGCCCATTAAAGTTATTTGTTTATCGGTATTATTCTTTATTTTCATTTCTCTCTGTAATGTAGCCATTTACAGTCATACCAGAAACACAGCAGCTCATTCCTTTTCATTAGTGAACTGATTTTAAACATTTCTGTTGAGTTTTAAAGCCGACACATTGATATAGGAAGTCCGTTTGACAACAGGTAACCCTTTGTGGGTCACATAACAGGTGTGTGTGGTATGTTTGTGTGCATGCATCCATATCTGGATGGTGTGTACTGTATATGCCTGCACGACTGCTTGTGTTGAGGGTCTGTGGGTGAACGTATGAGATGGAGGCTGTATTAGCTGCAGTGCAGAGACACTGCCAGCTAACACAACAACTATAGTATGTCTTAAATGAGGCTCTTTTTAAGGCCACTTTGCTAATCATTAACTAAATTAGGGCGTAGATCAAAGAATATTGCTTCAAAAGACAACAGATTTTATGATCACAGCAGAGGAGCGCTGCAATAAAACAAAATCCTGCATCTCACGAGGAACAATGGAAAGAGAATCTGCTTCTCTTTGTGCGTGCAAGTCGTATTTTTACACCCCAAAGCTCGAGTTTATCTGAGTAATTATGCATATCTGTGTGTTTCAAACTGGGAGTTGAGCCCTCACACTGATTGATAAGCTGAAGTGGCAAACTGCTGGATCGCCCACCCTCAGACTGCAGCCTCTTGCTGCAGCTTGCTGCACTGAACCTTTCATGAGATGAAATTCTGTGCTTTGAGCGGTCCTCCTCAGCAGCCAATAGCTGACAGGCTCCCTCTCCGCAGCCACCAATCCCGTTCCTGTTGCTAGGGCTATAATAAGTATCCCACTATTAGCTCGGCTCCTTGCTGCACTGCTCAGACACCTATTGCATCCTGTAAAAAATGAAAGCTCAAAGCACACAGGAGGCATTAGGATTCAGCACCAACCTATCTTCCAGCCTGTGTTTTTAATGCACTGCTACACTTTCGGGGACATCGGTGTCATCGTTATTGGTAAATGTCGGTGACATTACACATCCCGAAACAGACTGGGGCCCACTGATGGACATGTAATTGAATCTCCAGCAGCTACAAATTCAATTTAGCACTTTTCATGACAAATCAAGATACAACTAAATACATATCCCTCATTAAATAATGTATAAATAATGCTGTTTACATTAAACGCACATATCTATTCAAACCAGTTAATTTAATCAATGTAATTTAGATCCCTGGAGAAGATTATGTTTTAAAGGTCACAGGATACATACAAAACAGGAAATTGTGCTGCCGTGCTGCTCTTCCTCGTCTACAATAACTGCACTTTCTGATCACTTTCATCACATGAAGCATTATTTCCCTGAGGGGAGGCCAGATGACAAGACACAAGTGATCATTGAGCCATAATTATGTCACACAAAGGCAAACGGCCTCTAAATCACTGGATCGGAATCCTTGTTAGCATTAGTCGATGTTCACTGTGATGCCACTTCCAACAGCGTCCTATTGAAAATGTCCCGATGACATAAAATAATCTATAACTTTGATGATGGATTAAAAATAAACCGTGGAAGCCATGAAGAAGATGATACAGGTAGGTTATTTTTGTTGTCTCTGAATTTCATGAGCTATTTCAAGTTTGTAGAAAGGTAGCCGTGTGTGCACATCCCTTCCTGTTTTTCAGTCAGGTACAAGATAACAGGTTCAGTGAGAGGAAAATGGAGAGTATGAATGCAGTGGATTGAAAGACACACTTCTGACGTTTTTTGTAAAAATGCTCTTATTTGCTTTCTTGCTGAGACTTAGATGAGAAGATCAATACCACTCTAATGTTTGTCCAGTAAACAAGAAGCCGCAAACAGCACCCGGTTATTATTGCTTCTGGCAGCTATTACTGGAGACCATATGTAAATTGTTCAGCAGGTGATCCCCCATGTAATACATTATTTTTGCATTTTGGTTTTTGTATTGATGAAGCAAACCTTTGGACAGAGTCAGGCTACTTATTTAATATTATACGTGAGAGTGGTATCAATCATCTAATATCACTTTTTAACTTGTTAACATCAACGTAATATGATTTAGGCATGCTAATGGTGTGGTGATAGGGATGATAATGGTTAGTCCTCTACTTTGGTCTAGACTGGTGTACATTTTTTGAGTTGGCAATTATTAAATGCATTGTGTTTCGTGGTAATTAGCGAACATTAGCACGCTATCGTGCTAAACTAAGAGGGTAAACATGTTTTACAAGCGTGTTAGCATTTACCCCTGTAGGCCACAGCCTCACATAGCTGCTCGCATGGCTGTAAACTATTCTTGTTTCAGATAAAGGCATTAACAACCTGTTTGTCTTGTTGTTTATTCAGACTTTTTAACTTGCATTACCTGTTTTCTCAGGTCTTTGGTTTGCCGTTCTTTATTCAGCAGACATGAGGTCAGTGATTTTTGTCAAAAGGTCATCACAAGGTCTGAGCTTTGTTGCAGTCTATTGATTTCCTTTGTTAACTCCACACTGAACGCAGCACTTTTTGCTGTCTACAAATTCCTGCACTAAAAGGCATTTAACCTCCTGTGGCTCAGGCGTCTAACAGTCGTTGTTGAGCTATTCATCATCGACCAAACCGCATGGCTGTCATGACTAGCTCAATTGCTCTGGGGCAAAAGTGACAGCTCTGTGGACTGGACGCCGGATGACAGTGTCTGGAGAACAAACAGCCCGAAGTTTGGCTCACAAGTAATTAAAACTTGAGACGTTCGCATAAAGAATATTTTGTCTGATTTCAAAGTGGGTGGATAACGGTCGATGGCTTTGTGGCTTTGGAGGCCTGGAGGTGAAACATTACAGCTCTAACACCAATCAGGTGTTAGAAATAAAGTCTCGGATTAAGTCAATCATTATTTTTCAGCACTGATACCAAACACAAGGAGATTATATTTCTGAGCACAGATCCTTATAAATCAGACAGACAGACACGTTGGACTTTGGAAAAGTTTATGATCTGATTCAACGTGATCTGCACCTCAAAGATGCAAAGAAGTTTAATAGTTGCACAGCTCCAGAAATATCAACCCATTAGAGGGAGGGAAGGAGAGAGAAAAGAGAGATAGAGAGAAAGGACCGATGTAGAAGCAGAGAACAGAGACAGATCTATAAATAGGCCTCCCTGCAGCCTGTGAGTAGACAGTGAGTAGACCAGAGACATCAATGTGACAGCCCCTCCACTATAGAGACTATCTGCCTCTGTATGGATGGTGAGAGTTCATATCTTCGGTTAAGAGAGTCTGATTCATCAGTTTTACCCCTAGCTGAACAAACACACATTACATGAAATTACACAGATAACACAAATAATCCACTTGTATTTATTTATTTTCTCTCTCGCAGCTTTAAGTCATGATAGGACAAAGAGGGCTGTGGACTCTTTGAGGCACAAAGACAGCTGTTATGCATGACTGCTGCAAAATGAATTATTCAAGCTAACATTTAGACTTTGTATTATTTATCAAAAAGTGCCACAACATTCAGCTGAAGGTTTTAAGAGACTATTTTAGGGAGCACTTGTCCCAAAACATTGCAGGATACATTGCATCTGATACAGGCAGTGGGAAAGTGTCATCACATGATTTTTTTTTTTGGAGAGTTTCATCCCCCCAAATGAATGCTCTCCATCTGGCTGCAACATACAGAAACACTGCTGTCATCTCTAGCAATTTGCTATTGTCGTTTTTGATGATCAAACTGATTCCTAATAATACCGGAGGTGATTATTCTTAACTACAGAGGCTTGTGTGATGAACAGAAGTTTGTAAAAGGTGAGTCTAAAATTAAGTCCCCCCCCCTCCTCCCGCTGTCTCACAGTTACGTCACTGTGCATGTTCTTTCAAGGCCTCCCATTGCAGGAGAGTCACAGTCACACCACGTTCCCAGACAGAATAACATAATCATCAGAACAACACAAGTGAGCCCAAACTTTATTATTTACACTCTGATTTGAGCTTAAAACATTTAACCAGTTTCCTCTAAAATACGGTTTCAGAGGATTTTTTTCCTCCCATGATACTTTTTAAAAATAAAGATCTTATGCATCACAACCACCTGCTCACTGAGAAGCGGAATTTCCACTGCAAGACATGTGACAAAAAACAAAAATATTAAAGTGTGCAGAGTAAAGTAAAGGATATAGATAGTTCTGTGATTAGACATTTAAGTAAAAAACTTGTCACCTGTCACCATTTATGTTCATGTAAGGTGGAGTAATGATGAAGAACGCTGAACAGACATAACACAAATCAGACTGGTCTTGCATTATATTACTGTATGTGTATTGCACCATTTTACCAAGGCAAATTTCTTGTAGGTGAAAACCTACCTGGCAATAAACCTGATTCTGATTTCCTTTTGAATGCCCTATATCTTGCATTACCTATAAAAACACAAAATTATTTTATTTTTTCTCCGTGTTCAGCTGGCAGAAATCTAGTTTCATCTTCAGTCCCACTGTTACAGAAAAAAAAACTCTGATGCAGTCACTGACGTACTAATGGAGAACAGCTGCAGGTCAGATAGAAGAAGGAAATGCGTTAGGTACAAGGTTGCAAACGTATTAAGATTTTTAAAATGCAGAAAAAGAACATGGGTTTTTGTTATTATTGTGAAATTTACAACAGCTCTGTCTCTCACTTGGACAATATAAAGTATAACATGCTTGCTTTGTGTTTAAACAGTCACTTGCTTTTTAATCATTTCATTTTGTGTCATTGTTCCTCTCGAACGTACTGATTGACAAATGTGCATTGTACCTGTTCTTTCTGTCTGTCGTTCTACACTGTAAAACCTGATAAGTTCATTTAACCCAGTCAAACAGTCAACGCCTCGTGTTGAATTTATCCTCATCTGGATGAGAAAGTTGACATATTTCTCTCAGGTTTTTGGTCAAAGTCATGCTTGTCATGGATGTTTTTACACAGGAAAAAAAAAGTGAGAATGAAATAAATCACTTATCTCACAGGATGTGGTGTGAATCTGCACATTATATGTAATGTCTATTTTGGAAGTCCTCCACTGACAGGCTCACAATGTGATAATGAACTGTTAAGACTTTTGATATTGTGGATTTGTGTGTTGATGCAGGATTTAATAAATGACTCCTGCACATCATCATGAAGCGCTTTTAAATATTTTCTACATTTCATGCTTTGTATTTCCAGTGTATTCGCTCCTGAAAGAGTCCTGTCTGTGCTGCAGTTCCTCAGTGTGAGGTGTCTTGTCTGTCTGTCTGTCTGTCTGTCTGTGTATTCTTTTACCTTTAAAGTGTCTAGCCAGTCATGCTTTGTTTTACAATTAGCTCCTCAGGTGCTGACTGGTTGACAAATTATACCTTCCAGTGTTTGTAGGTCTGCTTGATGTCTGAGCTGGTGACTCATGTATGTGGGCACAGGGGATTCCCAACAGTGCAGGTGGAAGAAAAAAGAAAACCCTTCCTCCTCTTTGCAGCCTTGAGGGGATGTACAGTTCCGTTGACAGCGGGCCAGTGGGGTCAGTCGTGGTGAATAACAGGCGAGTGAGAGAGAAGGAGGGGGTGACGTGGAGCCGGCTGAGGCTGAAGGGGTGAAACGTGGTGTGGTGACAGGAATACAGGGTGAACAGTGAGAGCCAAGGGTCAGTCTTTAGCTAAATATCTGAGGCTGAACTGCTGCTGGCTCTGGGTGTGGAAACTAAAGGGAGTGAGGGTGTGGAACCAGACGTTGAAGCAAAGTTTCCTCTGGCTATCCACGAAACAATGACAACCCACAGTTACAGCCCAAAAATAAAGGCCTTATTTTGTATTTTAAAATAAAGAAAATAGAATAGAAAAGAATAAACGGTGCATTACTACTCAGGCAGTGAGCTCAGGAAAAAGAGCAGTCATACAGTGAAGTTACTACTCTGTATGAGTGCAGTATTGTGCTGTTGCATGGCAACAGTTTCCACAGAAATCTTTGCTCAGAAACACTCCTCTTTGGTCTTCACATAACTGCAACAGCAGAAAAATGGGCTGACTGCAGGAATACAAATGGTCTCATAAACCATTTCAGCCTGCAGAGGCTTAAGAGTTGTTTTTATTTCATATTTTAACATATTTTGGAGCAGCTGACATGCAAAATCTAACATGAGAGTTTTTGTAGTTTATTCTACTAACCATTTTTAGACTGTAGGGCACTCAATGATGTTAATCTGTGGTAGAATATGTGCTACTACAGCTTCCAAGTCTCCAACTGTTCAGGATTGAGATCATTTAATGTCAGTCCTGAATGATAAACGCCACCAAGCTTTCCTTTCTACAATAATATGACTTTATTCCTCCCAGTTTCATGGAAAATCAAATTGAGAGCAAATGATACATAGGTGCACTAACCAGCTGTATTTGCTACATAATGCTAAGTGTGCCACTGATACTGTTGATATGATGCATTCACATGTATTCGCTTCTCGCTTAGAGTGAGAGGAGAAGCTCTAGACCTCACCTCTAAAGCTCACCAATTAACACATCATAAACAGACAGAGCCAGGCTAGCTGTTATCCCCCTTGCTTCCAGTCTACGCTAACTGGCTTCTGTCTTCAGCTTCATATTTACCACACAGACAGTAAAGAAAGTGAAGCATTTTCCCCAAAATGCAACTATCTACTTGTAAGTTGACGTGATCAGATATGAATGGACCTGACATTGTTTCCCAGTGAAATGTTTAAGCTTTAAACAACAGGTTTATTTTATATAATACATCCAAAGGCTCTTGTCTCTACTCTGTGCTTGTTGCCGTCTTCTCTTTTCCACTTTGTGCTGTTCTGTCTTAGACCATCAGAGATATTGTTCCACCTACTACACACCTCCTCCTTCGGGCCCTGTTTGGACCTGTAGGTTTACCTTAATAAAGCCTGCGACTCCAAAACCACAGCTCGACATGATAAACCTGACATTTGTGCTGATCAGTATGCGGGTGACTGGCAGTGGCACTCTCACTCAGAGATTGTACATTTTGCAACATCATGCCTCCTCTTTATCCTCAGAACTGAAACATCTATTTTTGCAGCACAATTAAAGGAGAGAAGAAAGCAGTGTTGGGATACAGTTATTGTAGTTATTATTATTAGATATTTAGATTTTATTATAATCTTTCATTGTATTTCTTTAACTTGTTATTGGCTTGGCTGTTTTGAATGATTTTAGTCTGTGAAATATCCCAATAATATAACACATTGGATATTATCCTTGGGAAAAAAAACAACACAAATTAATGCACCTTTCATTTTTCTCCTCCTATTTTCCTGGAGACATGAGAAATATTAAAATAATCCCCACAAATAAATCCTGGTAGCGAACCCTGCACATACTGTAAATAGCGCAGTGGGGGGAACTCAGGCTGTCTGAGGTTGTGATGCATTTATTGTGAAACAGCTCCAACCATAGATTAAAATTGTTTTATTATGTGACTCAAATTCAAAGTATAAACTCTGTAATAAAAACACACAGCAAACTATTTAACCATTTATAGGCATGTAGAGGTAAATTATTTTTGGTCTTAGTGCCTATATAACACTTCTTCTCTACTGGAAGGGAACTCCAGAGGGTACTTGCCTTTTGTCTAACTCTTTGCACCCATAGGGAGGGCAGAGGAGTCATTCTGATGTGTTCTTCCTTTACTGAACCAAGAATGTGACCACATGCTGCAAGAATAAGTTTATGTCATCACAAATAAAATGTATTTTGTGTTTAATTTTGGATGCTGTTTTTGAACATCTTTTAATTGTTACATCCCTGGAGCTGTAAGTACCTTGCTCAATGGCACTTCAACAGGGCAGAATATTGCTGTTAAAGGGCTCAAACTCAAAGCCTACTGGTGTACTTGATTTCTTTACTTGCAACACAATTCTGCCCTCTGCTGGTCTGGAGAATGAAGTGCATTTGATACTTTAAGAATAAAATAAAATCAGTTTGTTTTAGAGTTTACAGATGTGAGAGCCTCTGCGTCACTACAGGGCGTCTTTAAAGGTTTGATGAGAATACATGGCGATGTGTATTTCAATATAAAGACATTTTTAAATGTTATTGTGGTAAATTTAAAAAAAACAAAAGGGGAAAAACTTTGAATGGGGAACTAACAGAGAGACAAACCCAAGACAGAACAAACACAATGCACCTGTTGTCACAAGGTTGCCATCTAGTGTTTCACATTGAACACAACAGAACTGCTATGGTGCTGCAAAGTAATAGAAGTTGCATTTACACAAAAACATCACTGGCTTGTTTGTGCAATCATTCAAAGTCATTGTTTGAAATTAGAATGTTTATTATCTTCAACAGCTGTAGGAAAATGTAAAAATATCTTCTTTATAGAGCATATTTACATTTTTAACAACAATCCAAAGTAAATGAATCATATTCACCACTCATGCCATCTGTAATTTAAATATTAACAAAACAGTAAACAAGCCGAGGGTCAGAATAATTATTTAATTTATATTTTAAATAATAATTGAATAATTATTGAATTCATATTTTAAATAATATTCATATTTAATTATTAAGTGTTTAATGATCTATTAATCTTTATAATATTTAATATATCACATAATTATCAGCCTGATGCACTATAGTGAGAAAAGCATGCAAGCACAGCAAGCAGGAAGCAAAAGCAAACTTAAGAGAGAATTAAAGACATGAAGAAATGTAGAAAACAAATTATTTTCTGCACGCTTTTTTTTTTTTTTTTTAAATCTGTGTGCACGTTTCAGTTCATTCTGTACACTCTGTAAATGTATCATCTTCATACAAGTCCTCCAACTCTCCGTCTCTGCTCCCCTCCCTGCTCCTGCGGGTGAAAAATGCTCGATCATGTTGCTGAAGGTACTAAGTGAGATTGCAGATGAGGAGGAGGAGAAGGGGGGGGCTGAAAATATCAAAGAGTACATGCCCTCCACAGTACAGCTCATCACTCTTTATCCACAACAACCTCAAGAGGGACAGGAAAGTTAACACAAAGCACTCGACAACAAGCGTGTGTGCGCATTTATTTTGGGTACAGCTCGTTGTTGAGAGCTTTGTGTTGTCTCGTCTCTCTTAAATCCTCTTAGGGTTGAACAAACCACTGATGAGCTGTGATGTCTATGGAGTACATAAGCTCAACCTAAATGCTTTTATAGAATTTACCTCAAGGAAGGATGAAGGTGAGCCGAAGACCCCAATAAGCCCCAAGTACCGCTGCAAGAAGGAGATGTATTTATATTCTTATTACTTTGCAACACAGTTCATTGTAAACAGATTTTATTGTAGCAGGACTGCAGCAGTTTAAAGACATAGACATCTTGGAAAAATAAGCTTATTTGCTTTCTAGTTGAGAGTTTAACGAGAACATTATTAAGGGTGTGTGTCTGCCAGGAGCCAGTTATCTTAGCTTGGCATTAAGACTCTAACCACAGGGGAAGCACCTAGCCTCACTCCACTTAAAGGTAACAAAGTCACCCTACTTTAGTAGCACCTGTAAAACTCACTAATGAATCTAATCTGATTAATGTAAATAACAATAGGTCATGTGGACTAAAGGCCACAATTTTTTTATACTTTGTTTTTTATACAAAATTAATCAAATGAGATATAATGTTTTAGTTAATTAGTTTAGCTTTAGAGGTGCTGACAGGAAGATTTTGTTACCTTTGGACAGAGCCTTTTTTCAGTCTTCATGCTAAGCTAAGCTAATTGGCTGAAGCTTATTTAACAGACAAATGTAAACGTTTTATCAATGTTCTCATCTTAATCTCAGCAAGAAAGTGAATAAAGTGTGTTTCCCAAAGTGTCGGTTCCTTTAAGCTTAACAGGAAATCCGTATATTTTTCTATGGATGATTGGTTTACACTGGAGAACATGTGGAGACCCAAATAAAATAAATACAATCAATATCAAATACATAAATAGGACATTAATTATGTGAATGAATAGACAAATTAAGTAATAAAACAATGTATATATACATAGAATACATGTTGTATGTGTACATTTAGCTCAACATTTTAACAGAGTTGCAGGTCTGTTTTTTTTAAAGTCTTTTTTCCAACAACTCTTTGAACACAGTTGATCCTGTTGTGTGATTAGCTGTAGAGTGGACAGCCAATCACATTAATGGCTCTGCTCTGCTAGGAAATTGGAAATTGGATAATTACTTACAACTGCTGGAAGGGTTAAAAATAACACCTCCAATAAACTCTGTAATTGTATAAAGAAGCTGGATTAAATAGCATTTCACAATAATGAGCTGAGTTTTAAATATGTATGATTAGATTATGTTGCAGTTTCATAAACTACGCATTTTGGCTGTGTTTATTCACATGATTATTTATTTCATAATTACTTTATTTAATATTGAACACTTTGGGTCTCCGTACAGGCTGACCTTCAGATTCTGTATAACAAGATCTGACCAGAGATCAGATCTGAACATAAAGTCTAACCTTGAATAAATCGCCCTTATTACTGTGGGCAGAAAGGCGAAATATTTGATCACTGGAACACAGTGCCACAATACATCATCCCTCCAAGAAGATCAAATTAAAACATTTTTGATCTTCTTCTTTAAGCCAGCTGTAGAGCCAAACTATGCCTTTTCAAATTGTAAAATATTTACCTTTGATTATAGCATCCCATTTAAGCCATTATATCCAAATACTGTTGTGTAGGATTTTACTATTTACATATATCACATGTGTCAGATGGACAGATAGCCTGATCTGCATAGATTTCACTGTGTGGGAGTTTGCAGCGCTGTACGACTGGTGGTGCTGCCTGGGCATGTGTGGAGGAGGTTGTAGCTGCATCTCCACATCTCTTCACATGGATGTGTAATTAGCTGTGCCAGTGGCCCCCCACAGACAGAACTGGCTTGTTAATGGAAAACAAAAGCAGCACAGCCATTACTGCTGCCACAGGGGCATCCATTTAGCTTATCAGGAAGGGACAAATGCTTTTATCTGCCTGAGTGTGCTGCTAATTTAAGGACCAAAACAAAACAAATACAGTATAAGAGCTAGTCAGTATTCAAAGATTAAGGGTCTAGATATGATGGTAGATTTAATATATGAGAGATTCACTGCACGTATAAAGTATGTAAGTAACTGATCTATTTTTATCCAAGCATCTGCTCGCTGCTTTGTTTTGTTAGATGCCTAATCGCAGAGCTGGCAGTTTGGCAGAGTGGAGCAGGCGGGATTTGCAGAGTAGGCTACTTACGTAAGAAGACCTCCAGGGGCAGACATGGACCTCTCCGCCCGTCTGCGCTGACACTCAAAGGGATTACCAAAAGACCGCTTCCTCAGCATGGACTTCACTAGAATCTGCAGTGGACATCAGAGACAGTCTCAATGGAAATACAGAACATTTTCATATTGCCTGTGAAGTTTCCACATCAAATATATTATTTTAAATATCCTATTTGTGTTATTTAAATATGAAATCCCATTAAAAAACCCATCTATTTAACTTTCTGGCAACTGTTGAGTGCTTACTCTTCATAGTTTTAAATGCCATAATATAATGACACCTATCCTGTCATATAATTGTTTTAATTTGAAAACTTTAAAGGGATCATGAGAGTGTTTTAGATGTAAATGGTTGAGATTTCATATAAGCAAAGACCATTTCTAGGAGCCTACAATCAGCTGAAAGAGGTCAATGTAGATACTGCAACTGAGATATCGGATTTTAAATTCTCAAACCAGCAGCCAATTGTGGGTCTTTAAAGCGTTACATAGTGACCAGAGAGGGAGCGACATCCAACTCACCACAGTGGAAAGGCTGGGGATGAGTTTGACGCTGTTCTGCACCTCCTCCTCGGTGACCTCCACCGCCGTACAGTGCTCCTCCTCCAGAGGAAGGGGATTGGAGCCGTTCTCTGTCACCCACGGATGGAGCTGTAACAACACACACACCATTATTATGGAAAAAGTAACACAAACTGGTAAAAAACATACAGTCTTTCATATAATATTAATCAGCTGTAGTAATTTGTGTTTTCCAGTCACCTTAATTTCAGGGATGGTGATTCTTGTTTCAGGGTTTTTATCCAGCATCCTTTCAATGAGCTCTTTTAATTCATTACTTATCAGCGGCCTGTGAGGAAAGTTAGAGATAAATATGATTTTGACAGTGGATTCTGACACATGACCAAGAGGAAAAAAGTGGAATAGATCTTTTTCACAGCACATCATTGTAACATCATTGTTGGCAGCATTGAATAGTAAGAATTTCTGGAAGCCACCTTTAAGTCTTAATGCCACATAAAGTCAGTCTCAGTCAGTCATGTGGAATTCATTGCCAGTGCATATTGTTCAGAGATTTTGTTAAAACATGCACGTAAACCTGGGTGAAAGTAGAAATCTCCTGTTAGCAGAGAATGTGAAAGGTATTTTAATAACCTTTTTTCTAGTAATTAAATGTGTGAACGTGCAGAATGGCAGAAATACCTACACAAACAAACATCATTAATTTCACCTGTGTTTTACCAGCTGTGCTTTGTGTGAACAAAAAAGAAACAAGACTGCGAGTCCTGGTTTATGATCATATGTATGTTAAATCACCACAGGACATTTTTCAGAAATACAACTTCAGTGAATAGAGAATATGAAATGCTGCTTTACAATCACCAATATCACTCAAACACATTTTCTGCTTATTTAATCACTTTTTTCTCTCCAATTAAGAAAAATATGTTTAAAAGTCTGAATACTGTAATATTCACATCTACTGTAACACCTTTACAACGTGTGATAACAAAGTCATCTGCTGCCAGATTCCCAAACATGTTTCCTATAAAAAAATTATCATGTCATTATTGTAAATGTTTGCTTACCTCTCTGGAAACTCCACAGGTTTGTTCTTGATCTTGTTGTGCAGAGAGACGATGTATTCGTCATAAAAAGGACACTGGGACAGGACAGACACAATTAAATAGTTAAGATGTTTTCTGGCTGTTAATTCTAAATGAATTTAGCATTTTTGTATTTTGAACTTTCTTACCTTCCCATAGACAAAACAGTACAGTGTGACTCCCATCGCCCACACGTCTAACGCCTGGTAAACAAACACACTGATTATCTGGGCTGTGCCTTTACTGAGAAGCTCTCAGTAGGCGGTTGGACATAATTTCTTGATAATTTCTCACAATTCAGCTCAGTCTGATACGAGGAGTCACATCCAGAACATATGTGCTTCAGTGATTATGTCTTTCCCGGTTGACCCTACAGAGGAGGTTCTGTCTCACCTTTCCACTGAAGCACTGCTCATGTTCGGTCATCATCTCAGGGGCCATGAAGGCCGGTGTCCCCGCGGTGCTCGACAGGAGGGCGTCCGTCCCCTCAAACTCGTTGCTCACACCAAAGTCTGCGATCTTGACGTGACCGTCGTCGCCCAGCAGCAGGTTGGAGGGTTTAATGTCCCTGTGGATGATCTTGTGGTAGTGCACTGGTGGAGAGTGCAAAGAAGTCAGCATGTTGGTTCTCTGCCATGCGTTTTATAGTACAAAGGAAAAATACCAGCAATAATAAAATATATTGCTTTGTCTTGAACAGTACAGCATGTCTTGAATGGTAGATAAATAAAGCAGTCACTGCCCCATCCACTGTGCAAGTACTTTTATCTGCCTTTATCCCAGTTTGACCACTGATTGACTATGAAGACTTTATTATCTTCAAACCTAAAAATAAAACATACTTTGTGGTTTAATGTGAATCTATCGTGGGAGTCCTTGACATGAAAAAGTTTGGGAACTCCTGCTTTAAAGCACCAAAGTTGGAAGTTTTCAGATTCTACACAAAAAAGCCACTTTTATAGCGTAAAATGAGCCAGTTATTAATACATTTGTAGTTTGACTCTCTATTAAATATTTATAATTAACTCCTAACTTACAGTACTCTATCCCCAGGACGACGTCTCTGAAATAAAAGCGAGCCTGGTCCTCTGTGAAAGGGTCGTCTGTAGGAACCTCCATCACCGGACTGCCCGACAAGAGAGGTGGAGAAAGGCAGGAAATATGTTTATTTTATATTATAAGCCAATTTAAATTACAGTTTAGGAATGTGACAGAATACATAAATGTACAAAAACATACCCTTTTGTCATCAATTCGAAGGCTTGAGGACAAATAATCACAATTTAATGACTTAATACTGACACAGCTACATTAAATGACTACAAACGGCTGAATGAATGCCTACCCATATGAAGTCCATCTTCATCAGGATCATCAAGCACCTGCAACACACATTAATTCTCATATCCCACGCGCAAATATATGAGGTCCAGTTATTAATTTGCACCATAAAAATAATCATTGTAGTATATTTGTGGGTTTTGGTCAGGTGTGTATCATTTAGGCATCCAACAAAGTTGAGAACCTTTGGAGTAAACAGGTTAACCTCCAATCATATTCTATTTATCATAGAAACATGTCCAACTACAGTCTATCCAAGGCACTTTGACGGGGCCCTCAAACTATTTAACATGCTAGATACGCATGCATGCTGCATTACATGTGTTTTAAACCTGCAGTAAGACTACAGCACTCTGACTGACCTCAACTAGTTTAACGACATTATGATGGTCCAGCTTCTTTAGGATGGCGATCTCTTTGTAAACTTTCTCCAGAGGCAACGAGGCTTTAGGGAACGGATCCTGCTGCGAGTTTGATCCTTGAGGAGGCAGGCGGCCTGAAATTACACACAAAAGACAAAAACATGTCAACAGCAACACCACAAAAAGGACAGAAGCTCATTAGACATTTAAATGTTTTTTTCACTCACGAAAAAATCCACACAGCCTCATCAGCCTCTTCTTTGAAACGACTTTCATCGCCTAAGGAAATGAGACAAAGCAAATGATGTTCAGGTGAAATCTAAACAATCTAAATATCTAAATGAACAATTTATAAGCTTAAACTTACATAGTACTGTTCAGAATCTTCATTATAAGCTAATTTCACCACTCCGTATGAACCCTTGGGTGTAAAAAATAACAACAACAGCATTATTAATGATTCACTTTTGTTTCAGCTTGCTTATGTATAGTACTGATTGATCACCTTTCCAATCTCTCGGTTCAGCTTATACTGGTTGAGCTGGACACAATCCTGCAGAGAATAAAAACAGAATTTAATCAGTAAAATATCTCATTAATAACATGTTGAATTAAATCAAAAATCCAACTCTTGAGTAAAATTTCAAGTCTCCTCACATCAGCATCTGTGATGGACACACGTTTGGTCTCGATAGTGCGCTGTCGGGCTATGCGACTCCCCTTCTCCTGCAGTGACATCTTCCTGTCTGATGTTCGACCTCTGTGAGAGCTGTTTGTCCTCGGGGGACCGGGCCTGTAGCCATTAGGAGGCGTCATGCGGTTGGCGGTCACGTTCATGGCTGCCACCAGGTCGGCCAGCTCGCCAGGGTTCTCCAAATCTAGCTCTGGCCTGCAGATAGAGTCAGTGCTCATGGTAGTTATAGTTCTGGTTCACTCACAAATGAACTCCCCGGCTTGGTGAAAGTACCAGAGGATACATCACTGCACTGGAAGGAAGAAACGGAGAGACATTAAATGCATTCACAAGTTTTCAAAACACTCCTGGTCTACATTTGTATTACAGAAATGTTCAATACTCATATAAAAATCTGAATGCGGAAATTAATCAACTAAACATTCACATTTTGTTAAGTTTCAGCTTCCTGCAAGTTGATCTTCAAAACAAGCTGGCATGAATAGAAAGAAATAATGATCTAGGCTGTTTTTGGCAGCGTTGAGTATAAATAATCTGTAGATAAAACACAGGAAACTACAAATGATATACCAAAATTGTAACATTCTCTTAAATCTAAATATTACCTCATTTCATTCATAAATTAGTGCCAATACAAACCTCAGAAATCAACTAATACCAGTGTTTTTACACTTGAATTATTGTGCAATCAATGTGCTTAACGTTAGTTAGATATTTTATTTACCAGCCATATACAGGATCAGATTTCTTATTTCAGAAGTGCTTTTCCCTTTTATTGCTTTGCCTTGGATGAATAGACTGCCAATGCCAACCTTTCTTTTTAAACAGCAATATAGAAGTAGTCTCTAGTTGTATCCAAATCATGAATATTTTGTGAATTGTTGTGTTTTTCTCATCATTTGAGTCTCTGAGTGCCCAGACTGCAGCTTGAAACCTGTAAACTTCTGCTTTCTTGTCTTCCTTTAACAGATGGCACAAGCCTCTGGTAAGAATTAAGTGTACCATTAGAAATAAGAAACACAGGAAATGAGAAAACACACCCTCTGACAACAGACTATAGCAGCAGATAAGAGTTAGCTCCTGATGAGCACGACTCACTGTTGCCTAAAATACAATACGGAGAACTGAAAAGCTTCTTATGTAACAAGGTACAAAGCTTTAACAGGCAAGTCATTTCACAATACCTACTACTACATATTACTTACTAACACAAGACTGTTACAGAATGTACATATATCACACAAATGCATGCCTTTACAACATGTAAAGCTATAAAACCTTTGTATTTGAAATGATAAAAAGAGCTAGTTAAATGCAATGAATGCCTCATGCTAACCAGAATCCCTTATAATGATATTGACACTAATAAAGTACTGTATAAAATAAAATAAGGGGTAAATGATTTACTCACACAGTGGAGGTGTCCTGTGTTGAGGATCGTGGCTAATCCTCATGCTGTCCTGCTGATCTCAGGAGGGGAAAGTCCTCTTTGTCTCAGTGCAGGACTTTCACTGGCGAGCAGGGAGGCAGTGTTCTTCTTAAGGATTAACTGAGGCTGCATATAGCCCAGTTATTCTGAGGTCGGCCGGCAGTGATCACCTGAAGAGTGGGCTGTGGTGACATTAGGAGAGACCTGCATGGTCTAAACTCCACCAGTCAACAACACACATTGGTTAGTGTGTGTGGAACAACTATACCAAACAAGTACATATAATATTATTTCTTTTTAATGACTGTGCTGCATTTCACCTAACATGAATATAGAAAATACATAGTTTTTATATTAGGCTGTAATAATAATTGGTATACTTATTAAATATTTTATTATGCATTATAGACATTTACTGTTTTTAACTAGTTTAAAACACAATTATATATATATATACACAAAACTGATATGAGATTAAAACAATAATAACATCATAAGACATGTTGAAAATGTATATAGCCTATATTTTAATTTTAATCAAAAATAAGTAGTGCTGTCGGTTTAACGCGTTATTAACGGCGGTAACGCAAACCCATTTTAACGGCGTCAATTGTTTTTATCGCGAGATTAACGCCTAGCACACTTTGTAGTTTTTTTCACATGCTATTGCAACAACTAGTAACGTTAGAAAAACTACAACACCACACCGGATCTAGCTAGACCGGAAACAAAAACAACAGGCACGCCGCACACACACTTGTTTAAGAGTAGTAGATGTTACGTTTTGAGTGGATGGAGAGTGCGAGACGCTGAAATGGATGGATTCTTGTTGTCTGAAAATGTCAACAGGCTTGTCTGTTTGAGTAACTGGCTCTAAGCAAAGAAGCAGCAGGCTTACCTTTTATTGGTAACTGTTACTGTTCATTCTTTCTGAAATAAGAGGCTGGGTTGAGCCTCTGGTGAATAAAGAGCAGCAGCCTGACTGCTATGTTCAAAGCAAACTTGTATTAAGTATTAAGCCATGGTTTAACTGCACTATAGGCTGAGTCCTAGTTTACCTTACATGTGCACTTTGTAATTTTATTTTGTATCGCCCTGCTTTGATCCCTTAGAAAGGGGCTGTTGAAGGGGCTGTTTGTGTGACAAAGTATTTTTTTCACCCTTTTATTGATGGACAGTGTTACATTGTGTGAGAGATTATTTGCTCCAAGTGAGAATGTTAGTGTGAAATTGAACACTACAGTATATGCCAATGTTGTTTTCAATAAAAACAACATTTGCACAAAGCAAACTTTTCCAGGTTGATAAGAGCATTAACATGAGAAAAAATAATGGGACAAAAAGAAATCAAGGGACATTTAGAATAGATAAAAATGTGCGATTAATTGCGATTAACTGCGAGTTAACTATGACATTAATGCGATTAATCGCGATTAAATATTTTAATCATTTGACAGCACTAAAAATAAGTAAAATAAACGTGTTTAGCAGTTATAGTTGACTGCCTGCAACACTGACAATTACAGGAACAGAATACAAAAAGACCTTTTGTGTCGATATATTAGTGATCATTGATACATTTAAGAAGAATTTGCATTCAGCTATAATTTATTTTTAGACTGTGCTCCTACGAACATTAAAGGAGGCTTTCAAATTGCCTCAGAATTTTTAACATTTATAGTCACATATGAAGCCCATAGTCCTAAAACTATGTGTAACATGTGATTAAACTAAAGGAGAAAATGTATAAGACCAACTGATACATCAGATATACAGCAGTTTATTTCATTATGTATTTGAATTCATATACAATAAATGAAGAATTTATTTAATGGTTAAAGTAAGGTTTCTCTTCAGACTTGTATTTAAATATGACATATTTCCATTCAGTATCCTTAACAGATCACTGTTCTCCTGTAAGGAAAAAAAACATCGGATTTCCTACTCTGTGATATGAAAAAGATGTATTTCTTTACTCTGCACAAGTGTTTAAAAGTGAGGAGCCAGATGGAAGCTGGAACGAAGGAAAAGGGAGGTAAAGTTGAGGAACATCATGGTCCTCAACCAGAGAGAGCTCTGGAAGAATGAGAAAGAAAAAAAGGCCATGTAGAAGAAGCTGTCTGTCAATTAAGAGAGAGAGCGCAAAGCCGACATCCAGAAGCCCAAAGGGGACATTGGAAGGAGAGACGAATAGATCGACTCCCTTCACCACCACCTCTCTGCACTGAAGAAGGAGTACAATATAACCATCACTCCCCGGAGGAAAGAGCATGAGAAGGCAGATGAGCCTCCACACTCTAACAGAAGCTGAGAGGAAGATAGCCTCTTATAGAATCCAGTGGGGTGAAGAAGACAGTGGTGAAAGAGAGGTGGCAGAAGAGGGTCTTCCAGTTGAAGGATCTCCTCTCTGAGAGGGACAGACGGGTCAGCAGGGCCAATGAAAAGAGAAGAGCTTGAACGAATCAGGAAGGGGCTCTCAGAGAAAGAAGAGCACTTCCTTAAAGAGCTCTCTGACCAGTGGCAATGTCCAGAAAGGAGCTCTCTAAACTGTGTGCAAGCTGGGAGAGCAGAGCACAGCAGTGGTAGAAAGAGAAGACAGAGCTGGAGGAGATGCTGCTGGTGCTGGGGAAAAAGAAGCTCTTGAAGGACGAGGAGGCAGAGAGGAGAGAGGAGCTCCAGCGCCGCACAGACATAAACATCCAGCTTCAGCTCATCTTCTGGATTCTACAACTTATTTCAAGAGGAAAAGAAGCAGAAGAAGAGTTTCCGGAGGTGGAAAATGCTCTCATAAAAAGAAATCTCCTCCCCTTCATTTCCCTTTCCTTTCTATGTATGTGTTATGTGTTTGTCTTTGTCTGTGTTGTAAACTCTCTATTAAATTTGACAAACCATTAATATATATGAATCTGTTTTCTGTCTTAGTAAACAGACAAAATATAAGATTAGATTTACTTTATTGATCCCAGCGGAAAAAAAAGTGTCACATCAGCAGAAGAAAAAGAACAGAAGCATAGATATAGTCATTTTATAGGCTTTTAAAAGAAAATCTGATACTATCTAGAGTATCAACATCTATATACAAATGAAGCATGAAAAAACACTAAAATTAAAGTAGCTTTAAGAAGCATTGAGAGAAAAATGTCACAAATTGAGGAAACAAATAAATTACAATTATGAACAACATAAATTCATTTGAGTGAATGCAATCAGGCGGTGTCTGTAGTTTATATTGTTAACAGCCTGGAATACAGTTATTGCACTTGTAGCAGAAAAAAAGTATGCAAAGTAATTTTCAGCTTGGAAAAGTCAGCTTTATACTGTCATTTATACTGTAATTGTGGACAGATTTTATTACAGTCAGTAATAAATGTACTGACTGTAACAGAAATGAACAGGGAGTCTTAATTCATAATCATGAACAGGAAAACAGTGCACGTGAAATTATATCAAAGTATTAATTAAATTGTGTTATATATATATATATATATATATGCTTACATTAGCCTAAATTAATGATAAGAAGTGCTATCCCTATCACCCAAATGTTACCCCCCAAATAATTTTTGTATAGTATAGCCCGTAAATCTTTCCGACAGTCAGTGAATGCAGCACTAACAGCTCACATTGCGCCCCAGCAGGACGCATCGGGAACAAACAGGCAGCAAACTTTGATGAAGCAAAGAGCATCCAGTGTCATCATGTCTCTGTCGGTGCAGTTTGGAGCTCTGAGGAGCAGAGAGCTGCGAGAGCTGCTGGAAGATGAAGACAAAATAAATCACATCATCAGGTGTAGTGACAAGGTGAGTGTCTGACTGAGGGACTGAAGTCGGATTTCACGGATTTCAGTAAGTGATGCTCCATTTGTAATACAAATAATTTGGATTGCAGACAAAAACAATTGTGCATATATTATGTTGATTATATGACTCCTCATTCAAACCTCTCGGTGGATTCACTGTTTCTTACATGTGGTCATTTCCAGTTTCAGGGTCTGCAGAGGGCTGCAGAGAAGATGTTGGTTTCAAATCAAAAAATGGCAAAAGTCGGTCTTTCTCACAAACCTCAATTTAGAGACGCTAAGTTGCTACTTGCAATGAAGTACAAGGAACTGGAAAAACTTAGAAGCATCATCCAGGTCAAACAAGAACAACTTGGTGAGTTTTGTTTGTTTTCTGTAATATTTAATCTGGCTGCCATTTACATTTGCTCATTATGTTTTGCAGCAGAAAAATACAGCTTGCATTATGCTCAGTGGTGTCTCCTGAAGAAGATCAATCATGCAGAGGAGGAGTGTGAAGTAAGTATTCACTTCTTTTTATAAATATTACTTTGATTAGCATAGATATATCAGTAATCATTTGTTTTTGTAGATACACACTAGATAATGAGATTGTGCTTAAAAAAAATTATCTTATCATAATACATTAAAATGATCTGCAGCCAATAACTGCTAAAGGTCATGAGCAAACTAATATGTTCCTTCTGCAAATAAACTTTACATAATGGGTGTGTCTATTAAATCTGAAACTGTTTATACATCATTATATATTCTTACACCCTCTGTGGAGGAAGTAACAAGCCACCACTTATTGTATTAAAAAGGCCTGGAGGAAGAGAACAGCTGGTTTACAAGAGACATAAGCAGACAAATAATAAATGTCAGCCTACTTTTTTCATACTTAAGAAATCCAATATGCTCAAACTGTCAGGCTGTTATAGAAGGTAGAAGAAGAGGTCTAATCTGCTGTAACATAATATCCATTCTGTGTGCTTGAAAATAATTAGATATTTCTCCCAACAGCTGCTGTTTCAGAGGTTTGCAGAGGGGAAAACGCCTCTGGCAAATTTCCTGGAGTCCTTTCTCAGCTCACGGAAACTCCAACACATCAGGTCGATCCTGGTGAAGAAACTCCAGGACACGATTGAACTTAAATCAACACAAATTGTCAGTGAGATTCACCCCGATACTTTTCCTGAGCGAGTCCATAACGCCTGCCTCCCAGTCTGCGGTCTAACCACAGCTGTCCTCTTACCTGCATGCTGCCACCAGCCTCCGTTCCTGCTGCCCTTTGGCACCCATGTAAACGCTGCCCAGTGTCTGCAGCATGTACCATTTTGTCATGATTACACTGAGTCCCTGCGTGCAGGAGTGCATGGACGAGGCCTCAAATGGCCAGCAAGACCCGTCCGTCTTCAGCCGCTGAAGGTACAGCAGAGAAGGCAGCAACATGGACCGCAATGAAGTCTAATCCAGTTGCAGATAGGTTAACAAAGTGAATGCTCTTAGATTTAGACTTTATTTTAATTTCTATTTATGTCTTGACGAGATATTTCCTAATCAAAGTCAGAACTTTACTTACTTTTATTTAGGCAAAGTTCTTGAATGAGTGTTTGTGTTCAGACAACGTTAAACACTGATGGACAGATGTTTGGCATATTTTGTAAGGTAGAAAAAATATTTATACATCTCGAATTCAGGTATATTGGCAGTGGTATTAAAAAAGTGCAATGTATAGACCGTGCATGGATGTTAATTATAGAGGCAGTAAAAGATTGTTTTTCATCATGATATATTACGTTATAGAGTTAAGACTGTTCTGCAGTCAGATTTGAGACAACAGAAGTTATGAGTACACACTGAGAGCTTTAGATGTTTACATAATTTATATTAGATTGAGATAAACCTGTCAATTTATGTAGAATCTTTAAGCAAGTTTGGGAATATAGTTTGTACTTTTGACTTAGTTTCTCCTGAAGAGAGCCTCTTTGAGTGAGGAAAACAAACTAAATACTCTAAACTGCTGACAAATACTGAATACTCGAACGTTAAGAGTTGCCCCTTTAGAATCATCCACACAAATCCTGAGGTGGAATAAAGACTCTGAACACTTAAAAGACAATACAAACTCTGGCTGTTAATCTGATAATCCAGCACCAACTCTGTAAAGAAATACTGTCACCTATTGCAGTTTTTCAGGTTGCTTTGCCAACTTGACATTGGTGACATTTACCAAAAGTTAGTGACGGGCTCGAAATGTAGTACCATATAGTATATTAAAGACATCCGTAATTTACTGTAACACTAAACACATCTCAGTGCGTTGTAATACAATGTATATCGGGTCACTTATCTGTAGAAGGTAGAACAGTAGAACACAAGTGCCCCATCAATAGCTGTTTTAAGAGTTTTTGTTACAAACTTTGATCCTTTTGTGCATAAAGTGTTTCTCAACTAAACACCACTTACTGGATGTGTATTTGTTTGTTAAAGACATCTAAAAGTGAGAAAACTGGTTACACCAGACTGTGGTAACAAATAAAAAATACCTATTTTAAACAGCTGATTACACAAAAGGAAGAAAAAGACAAGTGTCATGGTATCTGTTAAGGACATATGTGTTTTCTTGAGTCAGACAAATAGTGAGCAGTTGGTTCAGTGAACTTGAACTGCTCACCGACACTCGATATCTCTCAGCGTCTGTGTGCTGAGACTCCTGCCAAGGTCAGCAAAGGACCACGAACAACACTTTATTTACCTTAAGCTCACAGTTACTGTTGATCCTAATATTTACCAGTGCGTCTTTTCATAAAAGGCCAAGACTAATCTTGTAAAACTCATCACTTGCCCAGTATCTTTGTGTTTCCCCCTCCATTAACTCGGGTTAGCCAGAGTGCCATATGGCCCAGTACAGCTTGCCATACTAATTCAACCATGGAGAAACCTCACTGGCACTACAGTAGATGATTAGCAAGGTGGAGCATATTCAAAGGCTTTTGTTACACCACAGACTTCAGTTACATCTTTGTCAGCAGCCTCTTTTGTCCCACAACACTCAAATTGGGCAATTTTCTTGTCTGTCAGCTGATTGTTTTGTGCTTTTCACCTCTTTCACCTCCGTGCCTTTGCATTGTTTGATAGAGAACCTGGTTCATTTTGCACACAAATATGTAGTAAATGAAGGTGTATACAAAGTATTTAGATTTCAAATGGCTCTCAAATTATAACAGTACAACAAAGCCACAGTTGCTGAAAGTCTCTATTTCATTAAATTACTAGTATATATATATATATATAAAATAAAAAACACAAACAACATTGGGCAATATTCAGAACATATGGCAACACATATATTTAATGTAAACACAACGGTCATAAAAAAAAAAAGTCATGTCTGAAAAGCATTTTCATTGGCTGTTAGTACTGATTCGTGTCTCACAGTTCAAGGGCGTTTTATCTTCACATTGTTCCCCTGAATGGTCTCATGTAAACTGGATTATACAGTAGAGTATCAATATCAGCATACGGTAGTAGAGCAGGTATGGAGTGACACGTGGTGGGGTTCATCCTGTCCGAATGTGGGTCAGTGTTGGTTGACCTCTTTTTTTTCTGTCCTTTTAAAACAGACTTGGATGATGGATGTTTCTGGTTTATTCTGTTTATATGTTTGTATTTCATTTGTGGATGATGTCTCCGTTTGATTCACCAATACCCATATTATTACACTACATATTATTTCAATTTTCCCATATCTATATAATTTGTAACATTATTTACATTTATTTTTAGCATTACATAACTCTGGCTCATTCCTTATAGAGCTGAAACCGTAAGTTAAATCAACTAGTCGACTGACAGAAAGATGTCAAATATTCTGCAATTCAAGCATCTCAATTGTGAGGATTTGCTGTTTTTTCTTGTTTTATATGACAGTAAATTAAATATCTTGACCTTTTTTTTAATAAATGAGATTTTAGCGTTATTTTATGACTCTTTAAAGACAAATTAATTAATCATAATGAAAATAACTTAATTTTAATCCTAATGTCTTAAAATTCATATGAAAGACTGCATTGTTTCACATGATCATAATAACAGCAACCAGACATGAAATACAAAACCCAACTAAGACCTGGAAAACCAGTAAGTTACTGTTAATAGCTGATAGCAGGAAACTCTGCATCCCCATCCACACCAGATTTTACTCTGTAAATATAAATTAACATTTTTCTGAACAGAAATTTTGACTGTAGGAAAAGCACAGGTGTTACTAAGGACATTAACAAGGTCTCTGTTCTATTTAAGTGAGTCATTACAGCAGCACAATACAAGGACTCTGAAACTAAATGGAATTTGGCTTCATTCATTTCATTATTTACACCTGTACTTTTCCTCCTCTGACACGTCAAAATGTCTTCTGCAAAAAAGGCCATTTAAAAATACTAGATAAAAATTATAATAATAATGTGCACAAGTCAGCAAACATTCATCATTAATCAACCCTGCAGTTATTCTTTTGAGAGCTGCCTCTTTAAGACGAAGCATGTATTCTATCCCTGAGGAAGAACAGGTCCGGACCAGCAGCAGCAGTCATTCCCCTCTCTGAATAATGTGCGGCTAGCCACAAACAGTGCCGGCTCTGTCACACGAATAACACCAATGCAGTGTCAAAACAGCTGTCAGACAGGTCAGAGCTGGGAATCCCAGGACTGCTGAAATCTTACCACAGCTCTCTTGATCTGCTCGTAGCTCACAAACATCACAATGTTCCAGGAGCCCAGACGAAGATACGAGGGCATAAATCTGTAAAAAAAAAAAAATCAGATTAATCAAGAAAAATGGCAAATTATCATTGACTTTTTGCTTACTTTTACACTACATACCCCTTATAGAAAGCAGTGGGTCCTTCTTTAACCAGCATGGTTAAGGCACAGTTAATGGCACCGCTGTACTGGCCAGGCACTGAATTCATGTAGCGCGTTTTCACCACATCCACTGGAGACGCTACAATGGTGGTGCAGAAACCTGCTGCGAAGGCTGCCGTGAAGTGACACGGCATGTTGTCTGTTGAAAACAAAATATTTATATTAGTTATTAAAAGCCACAAAGACAAACAGGAATTATTAAGAGGAGAGCCTGAAGGGCAGAGGGCTTAATCTAAAGCGTTTGAACTTGCCCGTCATCAGGTTGTGCTTCAGGATGAGCTCTTTGATGATGTCATAAGTCACCAGCTCGGAGCAGTTTACGATGGCATTACGAGTTATATTTGGCAGACAGCCTGAAAAAAATATTTTACATTGTAAACAATCAAATTCAACCTGAGGAACCTTAAAAGTCCAAAAGAGAAGAAGAAAAATTTAATCTATGCAACAGAGATATCCTTTTTATTCCTCACATTCTTCTTCCTTGTCACAATTTGTCACCTACATTACCCACAATGCAACTTAATTGCTGACACTTCTGTCAAAGAGTTGGGTGTGTTGTGCCAGTAGTGGTTAGAGTAGCCTCGAGCTGCTGGCCTCAAGCACAGATGACGAGCAGCCTAAGGAGGTCTGGTCAGCTTTTTAAATAATCAAACTTGTAGTCCTCAGTCCCGCTGACTCATGTGACATCACTTGAGTCATTTTTTATCCATTTTTGGCCACTTTGTTCTTACATATGCAGTATTCTTCAAGACCTCTAAACAAACTTTGTTGTAAAATCAGTGGAGTTCATCTTTAAGAGCTTTTTCAAGTTTAACATCACTTACAAAACTTTTTTTTTTTTTTAAACTTAAACACACTACAAAAAAAAATGTGATAAAAAAAAGAGAAGTAAAAAAAAATCACTACAGTGCTGCTTAACATTCAGAGATTAAAGAAATAATTACAAATGTCATTTATTTGTTTCCCCATTTACCTTTCCAGAGGCCTCTAACGCCCTCTTCCCTGGCTATGGTCTTGTAGGCGTCAATCGTGCCGTTGTACCTCTTCACAGAGCCGCTCTCAGGCAGGCGGACCTGAGCCTGGAACCTGACTTTCACCACATCAGTGGGCTGAGCGAGGGCCACCGCCATCGCCCCCGTGGTGCAGCCCGCCAGCAGCCGCGTCCCGATTCCTGCATCTGTGATACGAGCAATGCATGAAACTCTTGCTTTCCTTTTATGGTCACAAACAAATGAGCACAGTGATTAGACAATGAACGGGGGTGCAGTTCTGAAGATGATGACTACCGTGATTAACGGACAAAAAAAAACCCCAAAAAAAACAACAAGCAACTCTGCTTGTTAACTTCCAAACTGGTTTAACTAGTTATTCGCTGATAAGCACTGGGTGAACTTGGAAATCTTAACTGCAGGCGTCAATGTCTGATGAGAGTGACCAGTTGAGGCCTCTGGCGTAAACACAATTATGTTCTCTGAAGGAGGAATCTGCCCTGTGTCCTATAGCCTGGAGGTATTTATTTATTTTTTTTTTAAACTTATCCTACAATGTAAGTTTAGTGTAACATTTTCTGACATGTGGGGGCAGAGTTTGAACAGTATCATAGCTCTACTTCAATAAACTAGAAGTATAATTTGACCTAACTGGCTGTTGTTGGAGCATGTTCCTATTTCATTAACATTTATTTTTAGGCAAATTGTTTTCACTTTATTTAAGATGCTGTGATGACCCAGTCTGACCTGCCTCACATTTCCTGAAATCCCAGCTCTCTTTTAGTCGTGTCATTGTTTTATGTTTGCAACTGCAGGCGATAATAAGTAATGATTGGAGCTGCAACCATTAGTTGAGTTGTTGCACTAGTCTTTTCTTTATGACAGGACAGTAGAGAGTTAGACTGGAAGGGCAGGGGAGAGAGAGGGGATGACATACAGCAAAGGACCTCAGGCTGGAGCCAAACCCCCGCAGGACTCAGCCTTGGTATGTGCTCTAACCAGTGTGGGCTGCTGGGGCAGTTATAAGCAAAAATGCCAAATATTCAACGTCTAACTTCTCAATATGAAGATTTGCATAGATGTCTTGTCTTATACTATAGTAAAATGAATATATTTGGGAATAGAGAGAAATAGTTTTAATAATAAAATGTATTGATTTATCGAGAAAATAATCAGCAGATTAATTCATTAATTGTTAGTTGCAGCTCTATAATCAAATAATTTAAAGGAAGAAATTGCAGATTGAAACCAACTCAAAACCGCTCGCCTTCCAAGAGTGTATGAGAAACTGCAGTGAACTCGAAACTATCGAAAAAATTAGAACGGTCCTATCTGGAGCCAGTGTTTGATTTGTCCTTTCTGGGCTACTGTAGAAACATGGTGGTTTAATATGGTGGACTATGCAGAAAAGGACCTGTTCCATCTGTAGACAAAAACAGATCCTTCTAAAGGTAACGACAACACAACAATTCCTATATTCTGGTGATTATACACTACTGAAAACATACCTATGAATATTATATTCCATTTCTTTCCATAAATGTTACACACTGGACCACTGGATTTCCACACTCCCAACTTTCCACCAGTTAGTCACATCCACCACCAGAGACAATAAGACCTTGACCTGCTGTATGTATCCTCTGTATTTATTTCACTCAAATGTTGCTGTGACAAGTGAATTTCCCCATTGTGGGATTATTAAAAGTTATCTGTCCATCTTTAACAAAATTGCACAATGAACTGTGATAGAAGATAAACACGAATTACAATTCGACATTCAGCTAAACATATTTCAGTCTCTCCACTAAATGACTGTAGAAACATTTGGTCACATACTCTCAGACCCCCTGTTGTAGAACTGCTTCATGGTGTCATACAGGCCGATGCGGACTGAGGCGAAGCTCATCTGTCTGTGCAGTCCTGCCACCAGTCCACTGTACAGGCTCCTCGGGCCCTCAGTCTTTATCATGGTGAAGACTGTACCAAAAACACCCTTGTATCTCGCTCTCTGGGCTCCCGGTGAGGGTTTGGATTCACCTTGAATCTAAAGTAACACAAATGCACAATAAATTATATTAAAAATCCCTCACAGCAGTTTTGGTACTGAATGAGTTTCTCAACAGTCTAATAAATAAATCAGTATCTCGTGTTTATATGCATATTAGCAGTTTCCTTTCTGTTTGTTTTTTTAACACGTCTGGTTTGACATGTAGCAACATGCACTCAAGTGTGTTATCAAATGCAACCAGCAGGGCTGCAAATACCATTGAGGACACTGAGGTCTTGTTCCTGAGGAGGTGTTTGAGTTCACAGTTACACATAGTACACATGGGGAGTTTTTCTGATGCTAAGAGTCAATATTCTTATATGTGGCTATTTTTATGCCAACAAATAAATTGAAATTTAGTCATTTTGCACCAGAATTATATCCTGGCATTGCGTAAAGTGCTTTAGCGGCATTTAATCCATCCTGCAGGGAGATGAAATATACAGAAAATACAATTAAACTTAAAACAGATGTTATAGGTGGCTGGTCACAATATAGAGTTAAATTATCCTCACCTGCAGTCTGACTTTGGCTGTGTCCAGGGGGAAAGTGACCAGGTCGGCCACACAGCCAGCTGTTCCAGCTGAAAAGACCTTGACAGCGGCTGTTGGGGCCAGATCGGCACTTCTTCCACCGACCATGATCAATGATTGAGGTCAGAGGATCAACAGTCAACAAAAAAAAATTAAATAAAAACTGAGCCCATAAATCAATTAGACGCCAATCAGATTCTGTTCCGTGTCCGCATTAAAGCACTATACAATTTAGTCATCTGAACAAACTAATCACATTACAGGTCCAGCCAACGTCAAGTTTCAGGTATTGAAAAGTTTGTATTTTGAAAACCAAGTCCTCTACTTGTGCCATTAGCCATACAAAAGCTCCACGCTCTCATACCACTTTAAATTGCAAAGACACAAAACAAAAAAAAAAAAAAAAAAAAAACAACAGCCAGCCTCCTCAAGCAACCGCACACATCCGCAATGTGAGCGACAAGACCGAAGCCACGGAGCTCAGCGAGTCCAGCCCCTCCTGCACACTTGTTGATTCCTCTATAGAAAGCTGCTGCTGCACCAACCCTGCAGGGAAACCAGACACACCACACGCTAATGAATTGCTACACACTTATGGGACGGCCAACAGGACTCTCTGGTCGCCAGGAAGTCTTTCTGGCTCATCGTGATTCACCTGCTCTTAAAACCCACAAACACCAGTCATAATAATTTAATGTCACCCTGCATTAAAACATGTACACCCATTCAACAACCTAATACCTTGTTTATGGTCTTGTTGGTGTTGGACAATTGTTCTAAGCTGGTGTAACACCCACTACAGGAGTGTCTGCTACCAGCTGATGAGGATCCAGTTAAAGAGTAAAGAGAGAACACAAGTGTGCTTCTCATCTGCAATCAGATACCGGTGGGTGTCCTCTGCCCTGTGGCCTTAGGGGGCAGTAATGAGCCCACGATGAGCCCAAGAAGATGCAGCATTTAAAGTATTTGCTTGGAAAGGAGAGCAAAGGTGACATTTAGGATTTAGAAGATAAGTTTTTTTTCAAACATTATTTTAAGTATTTACAAAAAAGATTTTGAGGAAGAAAACAAACTGGTTGTTTTGGTAAATAAACCTCCGGCTCAGGTCCTTCAAAGAGAGTGCAGTCCCAATTTCACAATCAAACTGCAGCAGATAAGAGTTGGTTGCATTTTTTAATTTTTACCATTTCAATAGGCACAATCCAGACTTTTCAGTTGACTTGTCGTAGTGAATATTACTTGAGCTGAGGAATAACTTGGGCAATGTCATCAGCGTTATCTCGGCTTCGGCCTCGAGAATACAACTTTTGAATGGAAACTCTTTGTTACAAGCTGGGGTACAGTGCTTTAAAGACAACACGTGCCCCACCAACACAACCACTATCTTTATAAGTAAGTCATACCAAGAGACGTATAAAACACAGCACAGCAGCTTAAATCAGTTTTTACTCTTATGCAGAGCTTGTTTTCCTCTTCTCTTAACATTATTTCCAAACACATATAACCATATACTTGGACATACATACACTGTTTTGTATTATTCTGCAATGCACCTGCAACACCAATTCCAATATATTGAGTTTTATCACCAAACTAGAAACTATGAGGTCTCTTTAACAGCACCACAGCACATTCTCCTGCTCACATCGTTAACATGTAAATGTTTCCACTGTACTTTAAAGATGTGCTGTAAATGTGCCAACGTGTTGACTTGTGTTGTAGTTTAGAGCTGTTTGGCCTTCCCTGTTTCCTAGAAGCAGGTTCTGGTGTCACAAATCCCATATATCAACAAAATTCAAAAAGGCATCCAGTGTTGAAAACAGTTCATATTTATTTATAAAAATACAAAATGTTATAATTAATTTACATGATCTTTTAAACCACGGAGCAGTCCAAATGTAATCATAAATGCTTAGCAAACAAAGCCACCATGTTCTACTGAATGTCATCAAAGTGGGCTGCAAATATTTTTGCTATTCTTTCAGTCTCTTTCTTCCTGGATGATGGCGACATGTCGCGACGCTGTCGAGGACCGCTGCGATGTGGAACGGTGTAAACTGGAGAGCTTTGCTCCTGGGAAGATCACAGCAAAAACACACTTACAATGTGAGTGCTGCAATACAACTACGAGCCTAAGAAGACTATTGTATATTTACTATTGTATATTTACTATTGTACTTAATAAACAGGACTTGAAAAGGTAACATACTTAAAAGGCGTGACTCAAAACAAGCATTCTAATTAGTCAAACAGTATTTTATTGTGTGTCTGAGGTGTGTGTGGTCACACGAGTCACCACTCAAACATAGCAAGCCCTTCTTTGGTTAATGTTCATGTTAATGTGTATACTGTTAGAGGGGCTTGTCTCGGGTCCATCTGGAGTACACAGTGTACAATCTGGAGATCAGCGACCAGAACTAGCTTGAACCGGTTCTTTAAAAGCACCATCCTGTAAACACAGACACATCACCGCCCACCTCAAACTCAAACACCTACATGAACGTCTGGTATCTCCACACCCTCTTTGTAACTGGATCCATGGTAGGGAACACTGGAGTGATGCAGAAATACTTTTCCATCTCAACTGACTGGGAATCACACAGCTCACAACTGTGTGACTCTATGGACTACCCTGGGCAAATATGTGTGCATAATATTAACGTGCTTCCTCAGTTTTGAAAATGTAGAGTCACCTGATATGACTCCAGTACATTTTAACAAGGCAGCGATTTGGCTAAAGATGATGGTAATCATGATAATTGCAGACCAAGCCTACTCGTTCATGGAGTTAAAATTTTGAGGCACTCTGTACACACTGAATATACACACACCTGTGTGCCTTTCTGAACCATGTCCAATCAATTGAATTTGCCACCAATCAAGTTTTACAGATATTTAAGAGGATAATCAAAGCAAACAGGATGCATTTGGGCTCAGGTAAGGAGTTCATTAACTTTTTAAGATTTCACTTTATGATTTGAAATAAGAAATTTAAAAACATGTTTTTCCACTGTCATTACGGATTATTGTGGCAACAACGTCTGTGCTCATGTGGCACTGGTATACAGAATTAAAGACAAGTATTACAAGTAAAACAACTAACATAGCATAACTCTAGTTCACTCTTTAGAGGGACAGACAGGCCAAGTTGCTTTGTAATTGTACACAATTGTATAGTGAATATAACAAGGTTACTAAGTTATTTTATATATTTGTATTATGCAATTTAAAAGTCACAACCTCATGATGTGACACTTCAAAAACAAAACCACCTGTTACCAGTCTGGTTTTACTGTGTAACAATATTTGGTTGGCACAGACGCCTGAGCCCTGACTGTTGAGGAAGGGGTTAATACTCGGGGCAGCGGGGGGTGTTTTGTTCTTGCAGTAAAACCACCACGCAGACCTTTGGTTACATCACAGCAGTGTCCTTAAATAGAGTGTACTGGAGGTGACAGATGGGATACAAACACACATTATTCTTTGTCAACTCCTCTCTCAAAGATAAAAGGCTACGGACACAACGTACGTAAATGTGACAGAGAAAAATGTGTTTCTGCTCACACACTGTAAAAGAGAACAATGATGGAACAATGACCATCATCCTAAACTACTGAGTACAGCACCTATTTTAAATATTTGTACAAGTCAGATTGTGTAATAATGGGTGGACCTGAAGCTGTTATATCTGCACAAATGGGAATTAAATTGCACTGAACTTAAGTTGGTACATAGCGTCACTATTCTTGACTGGCCTCTGTTCAGCATGCATCATGCAAAGCCTAAAGTGACCTATTAATAACACACTGCTTTTGCATTGCAGTTGGCTCCTGATATCAACAAGAGATTCTACTCTGTTTAATGTCTTATTTGTCAAGCAATCTCTCCTTCCATGAGGACTGCATGTTATAAAAACTAAGAGGTTAGAGTTAATATAATAACAAGATATTCGGGTACACAGTGAGAGAGTGAGTGAAAAGTACAGGTGGACAGAGGGCGAGTGAGTGTGTATGCCAGAAGCAGATTCGGTGACAAATACTCACCGGGTCACTGGTGGACTTGGAGAAAGAAGGAGCTAATCGGATGGCTCTCATAGATGCCTCCAGTTGGTGAGAGGGGAGGAAGAAATTGGGGACCTCTGCAGGGACCGAGCTTAATGTATGAATGTTAAAGTAAATAAATTCAGTGTTATGATATCCTACAAGATTAAATAAAAGAAAAAAGACAAAAAGGACATTTCAAACTCATTTAAGAACATCAAGCTGACAAGCAAAGACAGTGTTTATAATTTTTTATCGTAATAGACGGTCAAACTGCATCACATGATCAACCAGTGACGGAGGGTGGCCGCCTGCATCTGTTCATGTGATCATAACTGCACATCAAAGACACAAAATGGATGTGGATCCGACTTTGAGCGTTACAATGGGGGAAAAAATAGGCAGAGATCTATGCATCATCTCTTACACGCACAAACTGTAGTTGTCAATACCAACACTAAACAAATATATCACTATTAGATGTCAGGGTGCTGATAATGACCTGATTCACATATTGGATATCAGACTGACGTCCATGTATCAATCCAGATTCCATAGTCTGCTGGTTTTATGAATTATAAATATTAAAAAATAATGCAGTGTTACAGCCTGTCAGATCTACCTAGCTAAGACTGATGCAGTCTAAAACAACAGTCCTGCAGTAAATGCTCCCTTTGTGAAGGTTATAATGTTCAGTTCTAAGCTCCCTGCGAGCTGAAGGATAATTAACACAGTGAACTAGTTTTGTCCTGAATCTTTGATCTTAAGCAGCCTTCTAAAGCAACTAATAACAGCACAAACTAATCCGACAGCCAGAAAGACAACAACAAATACAGATTAAGGATACGTTTGGAGTGGAGTGTCTGGATTGTCCAGGGAGCAGGAAGCATCATGGGTATCTGTGGCGTGCTGTGTGGTGTGTGATGAACAGTCACCTGACCCCTCATCGGGGCTGTTGGCCCCTTCCGCTTGTCTCTCATCTAAAGTTTGTAGGGTCCTTTCATCTTCTCTATCGGAAGTGTCTCCCGCTGAGCTACAAAAACTGTCAGGTTCCTCTCGTCCGTGTTCCCCACCACAGTCGTGAGTTTGCAGATTTAACATCTTCCTCTTCTCGTCCTCGTTTTGGCTCAGATCTGGCTCGTCTGGTGCTTCCAGGCTCTCCAGAGACACCAGGTCAGGGTCTGACAGGATGCTGGTCCAAGGACTGGTTTTATCTGTTAAAGAGGTCACCTCATTGAGAGGCCTCGGCTTGACCACAACTTCATCGTAATCTTCCTCCTCCTCCTCCTCCTCATCATAGTCAGCTTCCTTGTCCCGTCTGCAACCGGTCCCATCTTCATCTCCGTCCGTTCCTTCTTCATTTTCAATCTCGGACTCAGTAACCTTGTGGTCTCGTCTATCCTTTTCTTCTTCAGGCTCAGAGTCTGTGTGGTCTTCAGACATCTTTGACACATCTTCTTGGGAGGAATTTGAAGCTCTGCGTGGACTGGAGGTACTCTCAGGGATAGTTTGAAGGTTTTTGTCTCCAACAGGGGAAGTAGTTGAGCTGCTCTGTGGGTCTGAGGGAATTGTTTCTAGGTGGTGTCCTTGCAGACCTGGGTGAAGAGGACAGTCAAAATTTTTGCAACACTGTTCTTGACAAGATGTGACTAAGTTTTCTTTCTCCCAGCAATCAATGTCATAATATTGAAGAACTACTTTTTCATGTTCTAAGTGTTGGTAAAGTTAGGTTGTCATAAACCATTGTTGTCTGTGTCCAAAAACGACAGCAATGATCTAACAAGTACTTTACAGCTGCAACAATTAGTTGATAAATGAGTCAACTGACAGACATTGATAAGCAATAAATTTTTGTCATTTTTCAAGTGAAAATACAAAAAAACGTTTCAAATTTGAGAATTTTATGCTTTTTAGTTGTTGTCTTTTTGAGTTTTGGACTGTTGGTCAATTTGAATACATCACCATGGAAATTACACTGGACATTTTCCACATTATATATACAAAACAACAGATTAACTGAATGAGAAAACGATCTGCAGAATAACTGTCCACTTACCTCAAGGAAATTAACTGTTAGTTGCAGCCCTAAAGTACTAAAATAACCTGATAAAAATAGCACAGATTTAGAGTGACAGCAATGCAGCGTTGACTTTATTCCACTAGTTGACATTTCAGCACCAGCTGGTGCTTCTTCAGAGGACTAAAGAAGTCAGACAGTGATGCCTCCATTTATGGTTAAAGTGTGTAAGCTACACAGTAGACTACGTTTGCAATGAACTCTGGGTCAAATGCCAGGGTTGGGTAAACTAGAACAAAGTTTACCTGCCAAGAATGATCTTTAAATGGTAAAATGACCATTGGACACTTTTAAAAGAGTGAACCATCCATCTTAACGACTCAAATGCTGAAATGATGTATTCACTAAAGACTTCTGATGGAAAATGTTGCTACATTTGCTCATTTGTTGGCTGGTAGTTTAAGACCCAATCAATGCATCCTCTTTAGCATGGACGAGAAGCTCACCACTAATGATACTGTTGACTTCTCCCACTAACTGGTTGGACTTAAAAAGTAGCTGACATGCGTCCGTCTCTGTGTCCCTTGGTTCCTCACGCCTGGTGTGACAGTCCTGCTCACTCATGGACGGGAATGTGGGAGTGGAAAGCTTACGGCTGAAGTATCTCTGGATGTTGTCGAGCTCACTTAATTTTTTTCTGTAAAAACATAGTAACGGAGTCAAAACTTTAATGTTTTAAAACAAGCAAAGCAAAGGTGTTGGATTGTTTGTCAGAGGATTGATACCTGAGTGCTGAAAACAGGAAAGAGCTGGAGGGATTGATGTCACCAGCACTGCTACAAACAGAATTAGCTGCTGTTTGCTCCTGCAGACTCTGATGGTAAAGACGTACTTTATCCATGTGTTCAAAATGGCGGTCACTCTCACTGGATCTGAACATTTGTAAAGGCGATGAATAAATACAATGATTCACCTGGGAACCTTTTTTTCAGCATGTGGAAATACATTTTAAATAATGTGTATATAAAATGTTTGGGTAGTGGTTATACAAACCTTTCAGAGAACAGCCTGTCTGTGTGGTCAGGGGACGTGATCTTCTGCTCGGAGTATCGGCTGATGTGAGAGGGGAAGCAGCTGTATGTGGCTGTGGTATGGTAGCTGAGAGGAAGTGTCTGAAATAAACCCTGTTAATAAAACATGTTTTTATAATAAGTTATCGTTTACTTAAATAAATTAAGACATACAGCATGCATGAATACTTTCTCTCACTGATGAGTTTTTGGTAGCTTCCTCATTCACAGTTTTTCTCTGTCCTCGGAGGTCTTGGACCCCCTTTAGTGGAGTGATGGACACTTTGAGCTGGCCGTGACACTGACCACTGAAGTCTGTGATGTTGTACCAACCACATACTGACTGGAACCCACAGAGTAAGGGGGACAGGTCTACAGAGGCAAATCCAATCACCCTCTCCATTTCTGTCAAAGTGAAACAAGTCAATAGTGAATTAATATATCTAACAGATCAATGTAACACATATCATGAGGTGAAACCACTTCCTGTACCTCCTTTGTGCCAGACTTTGAACACGAGAGATTGTTGTGGATCAACCAGTAGCTGCTTTGAAAGCCTGTAAATGTTAAACAAATCATCAGCCTGATATTTGATGTGTATTATAGATCGTCAAACATTTAAGTTAATGTCTGTGATTTCACTCGACCTGCACTCGTGCTGATGGTCCCACACAGGGCAGTCAGTGTTGGCTATGACAGCAGTGGATGCTGGTTCTGGGGAGTTGGCAGTGATGTACGAAACACAGCAGCATGGTGACACTTCACTGCGCTCTGCTAGAGGGCAGCCTGCCAGAGAAACACAACACATACATTAATGTTAAAGGAAAACTATGCAGAGAGTTCCTAAAAAACAATGTATAGACTCATGCAAACATAATCCCAAATCAATCAATGACCCATTAGAATTGGCAGTGTCTGTATTGGCAGAAACCCTGCCCTCTGCCTGTATTTTCTTATTTTGCTGTATGCAGGATGTTTCTGGGCATCCACCTTTGGGCAGTGTGCAAGGTGTGAGTTTGAGACTCCACAAAAACATAGCAGCCAGGTTACACTTTTGTCCATCTCTCCCTGTCTGCTTTATACATTCATAACGAGCTGCAGGTCTGTGTGTCAGTTTGTCCAAGGGCAGACAGGATGAAGCTACGTTTCAACTGTATTTACACAAAATCCAAAAATATAGCACTTTCCTGTAGGATTGTGCAGAGGTGTGGCCATGTTTATTTGGGCTTTAGAATGTAACTGCTGTGAAAAAAATCGGGAAAATAAACTTTTATTGTCTAGGTAGCTTGACCAAAGGTGCTCCCTCTGGCTCTCTTGAGCCGGGGAGGAGGGGCCAGCTAAGAATGGTGTGTTTATAAACAGCAATGGACAAATTCTGCATGGAAAGCCTCTAATGTACTGTCTATAGAAAAAAAAGGGTGGGAGAAAAAAGATTTCAGGTCTCAAGCTCACCTTTCAGATTCAGGTGCATCGCCCGGTCCACTGCAACAGTCACAGGGAAAGATTCATCCACGCTCAATTCTGTGTGCTGCACAGATGTGATGTCTGGAGGTGTCCTGGAGGATTTATTGTTGTGTCTACGATGTGAGTTTTTGGGTGTAATGGGCGAGGGGGCTCGATCTGCTGCTTCAACCTCTTCTGATAAGAGCTCCCCCTGGCTGTCCGAGTCCTGCAGGGTATCAACTCCGGCAGAGTGCTCCACAGGGACGAAACCTGTTGTCAGGGTGATGTGCACCCTGAGAGCAGCGCCCTGCAGATCTGCTGCTGAGCGTCTGAACAGCGGGTAGACTCCTTAAAAACCATGACACTGTGATTACACTCAGAAATATTGCCAATAACAATCAGTTAAATGACAACACAATTAATGATTTCTTACCACTGAGAGTAAGCTTCTGCTTGGGCGTCTTTGCAAGAGAGGAAAGATCGACAAATGCTGAACCCACCAGTCGGTCTGTGTCTCTGGGTCTTCGGGTTTTGTCTTTTTTAAACGCAACCCACACCTGAACCTCCAGCCTCTCCTCTCTGAGATACCACATCAAGGGCTGAGTGCTCCTCAGCTCCAGAGTCCTACTTCCCTGGAAAGTCACCTTGGCCTGACCTTCCTCCCCATCAACCTCAACAGACGGGTGTTTCATCTGTGAGCAGAAGGCATCCTGGTCGTAGAACTTGTACCTAAAGTAGCAGTAGGTGGAGCGCTGAAGCTCAGTGTGGCCTGGCAGAAGCAAGCAGTGGACCGGTATCCATGCTCTAGGCATCGAAAAAATCAAAGATATTTTTCTCATGCTGTCTCCCCAGGCTTCTTCATCATCTTGCACTTCATTCTGGGCTATTTCCCAGCCCACACCCTGAGCAGCTTTAATGACTCTTTCCCTGTCTGAGTGGTGGGAGAAGTTTACGGAGATCTCGAGGCCCCCGACCAAAATGTGCTGGTGCTGAGATGAATTTGTTTCCTCAGGTATATAAACTCCAAACCAGCCAGAAATACCTTCATGTTTGAAAAAAGAAACACAACATCTGTTTATTCAACCGGAAATCTATTGATCTATTATTTGTTGAGTGCAACATACCTGTTCTTTTATGGATGAGATCAGCCAGTGGTATTTTCACTGTGCCCAACATCACATCTTTAGGCTTATGAGTGAGCACTGCTGCAACAAGGGGCACAGAACAAATGAGTAACTTATATATTATGAACTCACATTAAAACACTTAAAGAAATACTGCTTCTATATTCTTAAACAAACTAAAAAGTAAATTGTGGAATTAAAAAAAGCTGACTTAAACCTTTGCGATTGTCTCTGTTCCAGACAGTGAAGACAGCAGATGCTTCGTCCAGCTGTTCAGCCAGGCTGCAGGTTTCTCCGCTGCTCCTCTGAACCAGCAGGTCACAGGACACCTCCATGTGGTGGTCAAACTCCGGGCAGAAGGTCCTGGCAGCTACACGGGTGCTCCTCCTCTCGCTCTCTGGCAAGAACGAGAGCTGGACTGTGACATATGCGTTCACTCCCACACCAGCAAAGTAACTGAATCTTTCGTCTTGTTCAGATACAACCCTGAAACAGAGCAGTAAGAAATGGAGCTGAATGTCATTTCAATTTGTTGTCAGAGAACCTCAGTACTTGTTGGAACCATTTCACATGGTTTTTATTGCATTTTTTCTTTCTGTTTTTGGTTAATAACTCTGGATTGGTAACAAATTTTTGCCCAAAATGTCACTTAGGCCCCTTCTCACCCATCAGTAATATTCCAAAAACCTTCCAGTTTTATCTACATCTGTGTGAATTCCACTTCCAATTTTAATTGTGTAAAATCTGTTGACTATCACATCAACAAAATAAAAACATTTAGAGCTTCCAGGAGGACAGTGTTGGTGATGTACCTTGCTGCAGCCTGCAGACCTGATGCTCTGTGCACTTGAACCACGAGTGTCACGACACGAGAGGCAACTCCTTTAGAGTTCTGCCCTTCAGGTCTCACTGGTCGGTGCTTGTACCGAATGCACACATCTAGCAGGCCTAAGAACCACAACAGATCAGTTAACATTTAACACACCAAATGTGTCAGTACAGTATTATATTGCCATTGCTCCGTGTGTTTCTGTGTACCTGAGGGCTGAGGCTGATGTCCTATGGGACTGTCTGTCCTGGGAATCAGGGGCAGGGAGAACATTTGAGCCTCGTCAGGATGCTGTCTCTGCATGGTGACCATGGCACACAGTTTGGACAACGGCAGCATTCCTTTGGCCACAAGCTGGTCTCGAACATTTGGATAATAATATCTACAGAGACACAGAAATCCCTCATATGAAACCAGCATTCAACTAAGATTCTAAGCTATGAACTCACAATCAATGTGTTGTGTATAAATGGGCACTGTTGTATATGTACACATAGTAATGGTGTTTACATTCTTTCATTTACAAGATAACTGCAGATAGGAGAGTGTTCGGACTAGATACGGCTTTGCTATGTGACAAATATTTGTCTAATTTTACTGAAAAGGAAACCATTTATATTCCTAAAACCTGTTCCATGTTGTATTCACACGCTGTAGGGGGAGGTCGCAGGATAACTACAGAGCCTCTGCACGTAATAAATGCAACACATAGATGCAAAGCTTCAGGAATTAGGCTCAGCAAATCGAGACATTGACAACAACAAACCTGCACCAAACTTCAAACTGGACACCACCTCCACCTCTTAGGCCTTGACTTGAAAGAGAGCTGAGCAGCAGCCTCTGAACAGGCACTCCATCAGGGGCGAGAAGCACATGAGTCTCAGTGTGGCCAAACATCGGGTCAGGCACACAGAGAGTTGTGGTGGTACGAAAAACTTTCAGGTTCACACCTATTGGAGAAGAGATACAGGTCAGAGTGAAACAGAGGGAAGAAAAACTTTAAGGTTAAAGGTTTTACTCCAAAATGGCCTTACTGCTCTCTATGAGGTTTTGGTCCACCTTCACAGCAGGGTCACCCTCCTGACAAGGGAAACTGTACTGGACGTAGCAGTCAGCCTCACCCCACACTGTGGACTGCAGAGGTGTCAGCCCATTTACCTTCTCCACTCTTATTACAAACAGATGCTCTCTCATGGTTTCCTCTCGTGTTGCAATCGCCTGAGCGAGAAAAAAAAGCAGGTCAATAGGACTTCACATCTTGTCAGCATATATTTTTGTTCATGCCATCAGGTCTGAAACTTTTCAGATATCATAGTTAGTTATGAAGATATCCTTGATTCTGGTGGTTACAAATGTAATGATCTTCAGTATTATAAGTTTTTGGTATTTAAAAAAAAAAATTACATTTGCATTACAGTTTTAGCACTTCATTGTTCATCCACAAACATTTTCTGGTATAATTCACAAGGAACATTTCCATAAATAGCCTTGGAAGGAGCTGTCTAGCTGCAATTATCTGTTTGATAAGAACAAAGACAAAAAAAAACATGCTTTTGATTTTGTAGCCAAAAGAAACACTGACGTTTGCTTGTGAACGTGGCTGATGATCAAGCAGATGAACTGGTCTCACAAGATGAGATAAAGAGTCGTATTCTTCATCCCTCGTGCGCTGCAGGGCAACTATCTGCTCTGATCGGCCCATAGCCAGAACAACACGGAGGTTTCCCTTACAACTACCTGAGAACACATCAATGACTGGCATGTAGCAGTCCACCCCTAAAACAGGGTACTGCGCCTGGAGAAGAAGGTGGGTGATATTTGGATCCCTGGAGGGGAGAAAAAAAAGACAGGAGAGTTATTGGTCTATTGGTTGGTGTATTTTAGATATAGATTAGAGGAGACATACAATAGCACCATCCAAAAGGCAGGTTAAATAAAAGAGGATGTAAATGATCCCCATTAAGTTTCTTAGCCTTTTGCCTACTCTGAACTCAGACACTGTATCACAGTTGTGTCTGTAATCTCTCAGGGTGCAACAAATGATAATTATCATTAACAATTATTCTGCTTATTTTTTTCTTGATTAATCATTTAGTCTATAAAATGTCAGAAATTAGTTTTCATTCATTTTACTATAACAGAGGAAAACCCACAAATATTCACATTTTAGAGGTCAGAGCCTGTAAATTTCTTTTGCAGAACAAAACAACTTAAATGATGAATAGATTATTTAAATAAATTACAGATTGATTTTCTGTCAAACAAACAATGGATTAATTGACTACTCGTTTCAACTCTAATTTCACTTCTACCAATACCACTTGAAATATTTAAAAACAATCATCTTTCCAAAACTTGCCTAAATGACATGTAGAACTGATGAAGAGGTAATTTAACGAGGCCGAGGAGTCGATCCTGTCCTGAACTTCCTTTCTTCTGCCACACCTCGATCACCATCATATTATTTTTCATCCGCTCCAGCAGCTTAGTTGTTAAGGCCACAGGTGTCACCTGAGATAAAGGATGGAGAAAAAGTAATGTGGGTCAGCAGGAGTCTGGAGAATGTTGCCTCCTTTGTAGCCTGATTTAAAGTTTTATATATGGTTAGAAGACTCGGTCTCCTGGGCTTACCTGAACAAAGTTGAAAGAAGGATTAGCCTGACCCCAGCTGATGACAGATCTAGCCGTCTCATCGCACCAAAAGAGTTTACAGTTCAAGTAGACATTTGGAGCCTGCATGGGCCCACAGCTGAAGTTCTTTCCGTCTGGCACCATAAGTAAAGTGTGCAGCAGGACCTCAGGTTCTTCCTCCACCTGCAGCCGTGATATATGAGGAGATGTGTGGAGGCTGGGATGGGGAGAGGATTTTTTCGATGGTCTCTGAGGACTCCAAACATTCAGCCTGGAGTCCTCAAAAGAGCCAGCTGGTAACTCCTCCCTGCCAACATCAACATGTTGAGATCTGGAGCTGGTCTCTCTCCGAGGACTGTGTGCAGTTTGTGAAGGCGATGTGTCTCTCAACGCCAGCTTGCTTTTACTTTTTTCAGAAGAGAAATCTTTGCTGTCTGCAGCAAGATCTAGCGACACCTGAAAAATACTGTAAAATTACTCCTATGACGGTCACTTGGGTAACAAATACCAGGCTTTCAATCATTAATTCCTAGGTTATAAAAAAATACAGTAAATTACCTTGAGAGGTCCAATCTCCTGTGTTTCACGGTTTCCCTCCACACTCCGTACAGGTAAGACAACAGACTGACTCAGCTGCTTGCTCTGCAGCAGAAAGCGCAGTGGGTGAACCGCCTCACCGATGGGAACAGGCTGCAAAAAGAGAAGCTGAGGTTAGCACATTATTCCTTTAAGTACTTTATAGTGATGAGTTTTAATTTTATGTACATCTGTGTTTCTAGGCTTTTAGTAGAAAGAGAACACTTTTTTTTTCCTGTGATGTTCGGGTTTCTGTAGGTTTATGACCTTTTTAAGACTATAAACACAATTTCAGACCTATCTTATTTTATTTTACATCCATACTAACAAATAAAAGTACAACGGATATGAATGAAAATCGATATTAGTTCCGTGCAGTAACATCATGGTCAATCTTCCCAAGAACACATTTAAAAGGGAGACTGACATTTATACAAGTAATGTTAACCTTATTTATACAATACATTTTAAGACCGGTCAAAATCATTTTTAAGATAATTGATCTAAAATTCAGATTCAGATCAGATTTTAGACTTTTTGAGACCCCAAGGATACTGGTTGATGCAAACAGATGACGGTCATTATTGGCAGAACAACGTACATTTAGTTTAACCCAAATGTAACAGTGTGACCTTAAGGTACACCTTTGTTAAAGAATACAGTAGATACTAAAGATCCAAAAGGTTTCAAGGTTATTTTATTGTCATTTAAAGTGCAAGGTTATAGAATAAAATTCAGACACTATGCACTTATGCTTAATAAGTCATCAAATAAAAATACAAATTTGTATGATGAATTGTTGAGGGAGAATGTAACCACTGCCTTTAGGTATGGCAGCAGAGACTCTGTACCTCTTCCCAGATGGCAGCAGGGTGAACAGGCTGTGGCTGGGATTGGTGCTGTCTTTCAGTATCCTATTGGATCTCAGCAGGCACCTCACCAAGCCAATATTATTGTTTTTAACCAATCAAATGAGTAATGTTTAGTCCAAAGCTACTTACTTTCTTTTGGTCGCTCTTCCGTGAGTAAATCTTGAAAATCAGATCAGTTCCCCACCATTGTTTAACCGTTGCTGTAGTGAGGTGGACAGGAAACATAGAGTGGTGGTGGAACTTCACCGCTAAAAAACACAGTAGAGCTTATGTCAGACACAGTCAGAAATCTGACAGAAACAGTGTTTTTCACTCAGGTGGGTTTCATAAAAGCAGATATTCTAACAGGTCATACCTCCTCCTGTGACTTTACTGGCAACAGCTCTGGTCACTTCCCCATCTCCCCCTTTACGACGCTCATGTCGACTAGAAGTGGAAGCCATCGGGAAAACATACTCGATAAAATACGTGCTGATGAAAAAGAGAGAAGATATCATTGTTACTTACATAATTATTTTAAAATGAGATAAAAAAAATAGTGTTAAATGTTTTGCCTACCACTTCTTGCTGGTTAATGGTCGAGGAGGTTTCCCTTTACTCAAGGTTTTTCTCGGTGTGGTGGTTGTACTGCCTGTAGGTACAGTCAGGGAGTCAACAGTGACTCTCGCCAGCCGGATCAAGCTGAGCAAAGTCAACTGCTCTGCACTCAGGCCAGGAAGGATATCACCAGCATTGGCAGACCGCTGAGGCGCTGAATTTGGACTAGACACAAAATATGGTGAATAATTCAATGTACAAAAAGTGCATGTTTTGTCTGTGCTATCCTGGTACCTTGTATGTATCCCATACAACATGTGTAATTGGTTTATTATTAATTTATTGGTCCATTTCCTTATCTTATCAACAGATTTTAATCAATTAGAATACCGTGAAGATATGCCCTTTCAGAGCCAGTTCAGTCGTCATTAAGTACGTTTTTACAGTGGCTAAAATTGAAGGTATAAGGATTAAAAAACCACCCAACCCCCACCCGATCTTCTGAGAGGAGCTTTTTACTGTTTACTGTCGAGGCAGCATGGCTTAAGAAGCATGTAAAGGCCCTTACCCTCCACTAATCTTGGGTCCAGACTGCGTCAGCTGTTTTGGCTCTTTGTTACACGAGGACAGTGTTTCTCGACCCTGTACCTCAGTGTCATTTGGTTTGATATCTGACATCTGAAAGACAAGAATGACTTAAAATAACCCGCTGCTAAAGAAAAAATCAAGTTAACTTATACTCATAATACACATAAAACATGCGTTTTTCTTGTCTACTTACAGGGGTTTTGTAGAACAAATTTTCCAGTAAGCTCTGATCATACTGTGGATCATTAAGCTCACTATCCCCACACACACTGCTATGGCCAGAGAGAGATTCGTGGAAGGAGTCCTCTCCATCCCAAAGGGGTAGGGGTGATGTATTTAAGCTGGAAAAAAAAAAAAAAGAGTAAAAACCTTGGAAAAAAACTGCTTAGATTTTGTGTCAACTTTATAAGTAAATGTGCACATAGACACCTGCCGAGGAGCAGATCCACAGCTCTGTTATCCATGTCAGCAGGACAGTCTAAGCCACAGTCTGAGATTAGAGCAACATCATCAGAGTGCTTGAGAGCTGAATCAGCATGAAGAATATTTTGAAGAAACATCCCAGAGGGAGAAGGGAAGGGCCTACAGACACAAAAATGAAGTATTACAGACAGTGCATTATGCGGATATTGAAAACATTTTAACAAACTTTTGTAACACTAACTTGGACGGTGGCAGGATGTTATCCTTTGGGAGAGGCAGAGGAGTGTCTTTCAGAGTTGGGGCAGAATCCATGTCACATTTCAAAGCTGATACCACCATAGCATTTCTAAGCTTGTTCCCACGCTCTAGAATAACTGAGATGTGAGAAAATGTTGGGCATTTGTTAAGACAGATTTGTCAGATCTGTGTGTGTTTGTACATCTGATGTCATGCTTCAACCAACCTGAGAGGATATCATTGTTGGTTTGGTCACAAGGCTCCTGGCTTGAAGGATTCACAGCCGTTTGACTGTTCGGAGATTTGTTTGTTCTTGGCATCTGATTCTCCAGCGATTCTTTGATACCTTTGTCTTTCTGGGCATTTTGGAAATATAAGTGGTCTTTCCCTCTGAAAATATTACAGCAATATATACATACTATTATGCTCAGATTTAAACTCTTAGAACAACAAGACACAGCCATTTGATTAGGACAAGCAACAACTTCAAACCTTGGTGTGTTTCCACTGCTGCTCCCGGCTGATTCTATCCCGCTGCCAACAGAGAGCGGTCTGGGCTGCGAGGGCACAGGCAACTGGTTGACATGTGGTCCCTCAATGCTGATATCTGTGATGGGACCTGAGCTGCTGCTGTCGTAGGCTTCTGTCAGAGCCTCCAAATTAAGGGAAACCTGAAAAAAAAAGCCAAAATGTGGACCAGTTATTTCATTTAAAACAGAACTGGTGATGGCAACGAATCCTTATGTTATCAGCTATTACAGGTACAACATTATAACACCTTGAAATTAATAAGGGGTGATTTTGCTGTCCATCTAACTATCTATGGTGATTTCAATGGCTTGTCTCCACTGACCTGTAACTCTCCCAGCTTCTCAGATGTTGGAGATACGAGGGTGTAAAATCCACTGATGGGGTGCGACAGAGAGAGACGAGAAATGCCCGCAACCTGAGCCCGTGCAATCGGCAAATGATCCGGTTTTGTCAGAATTTCCAGCACCATAGAGCCCATATCTGTTCAGTAATGACAAATTAGTGGTTGGTTTTAAACATGTGCTTGCAGGATAGGAAACTCAAATGCTAAGCCTTATTAGTTACCTGTAAGATATGAGGTAAACTGCTTTGGACCACAGCGGATGGCGAAGCGGGCTGTGGTCTTGATGGCCTTCTGTGACGTCTGCGATCCATCTCTTGGAAAGAAATGTGTCCCATTGGAAGACTCTCCCCACCAGCGCAGCCTGACAAAGGTTGCAGACGGAGGCTTGTGAACTGTCCATAGTACCCGGCTTATAGTCACCCGCAGGAAGCATCTTAGCTGGCCCTCGACCAAAGGAGGGAGGCCGGTGGAGGGCGACACATCGCTGGGGACTGAAAAGAGTTGTTTTTGAATACAGGAAAGTTTGACACAAACAATGCAAACACTGAAAATACTAACCATATAACTGGACGGACCAGAGTAGCATTTGCTGCAGATTTTAGCTTGATGTTGGCTGGTATAACAGTAAGGGATGTAACAAGTGGGAAATTCTGAGCCGAGACCAATACAGATGTTTTTTTTGTTGTTATTTAATTGCCCTTTTGTGCCAGGGAAACTGACATCGGTATTTGCAATACGTGCCAGTAATAATTGCAAATAACCAACACAACATTTAGCCAGTGCAAAATATATGCAAAACAACAGATAAACAACTCGTATAAGTAATTGCCATTTTATTTTCTGATAGGCCGATAACGATGTAAGGCTGATATATCGGTGCATCCCTAATAACAGTAATATAATGTACTGTTCACTGGGATTGTACAATAGCTCAACACTAACGTTTGACTTTCAGTACAATGAAATTATGATGATATGATCTAAACATCCCGTCAATAAAAACAAACTTTGATTTACACATATGAAGAGTTTAAGCAATATGTAACAGTGAAACACACTTCATTAGTTTGAAGATAAACAATATTCTCATTAACACTGTTATTATTTCAGCCATATTACCCTTCCCTTCTGTTCACAGCTGTAGGTATGCAGAAAGCTTACAAGAAATATGCTACTGTAAAATCAATGAGTTAAACAAGCACGGTATTATTGACAACATTAATAATAATGTAACGTTAAAGGTTAAATAATTAGAAAAGTGTCTCATAATGACTTGAAGTTATAAAAGTGAATCTTTATTTTAATCTTTAGTTAACAGTCTAAAGTCAATTGCCCAGCCAAAACATGCAGCAGCACATATTATCAACAACGAGACTGAAGGTTGAGACTACACACAGCAGCAGATACAGGAACACCACAATGTTAGAACACATTTCCATGTTTTTATTTAGACTTTTTATGCTCTAAATTAACAAAGTAAAAGCTCTGAGTACCGAGTTACAAGTTAATAAACAAACGCCTTCTAAAGTGCACTAATAACACTGACAACACGTGCAAAAAAAACACAAGAGAAAGCGAGGAGCATATTTATAATTACACTTATCATTATCTAGCAGGCTAACATACGAAGCTAACTGACAGCTGATGCTACTTAACGTTAGCTGTACCAGGTAGAGCTAAGCTAACAGCAGTTTACCTTTCTTTTTGCCGCCTCCAGCTTTAGACCTCTGTTTTCGACTCTTCATCCCTCAGCTCAGATATTATAGACAGTGAATGGTCGCCTGGTCAAAGCAGGAGCTGAACTGTTGGCAGGCATGGTGTTTATCACACTCCAGAAAACTAATAATCCGTTTAACAGAGCTACACAAACACACACACATATACACACACACAAACGGCAGCGCGCAAAACTGTTTCCGAGCAACAAAACTCCGAACGTGCCGCCTCTGCTGCCGCTGCGTGTCACAGAGGCATTCTGGGAAATTGAGTTCATTCGGTTGTGACACTGAAAAGTAATTTTATTGTACATTTATCTGATACATTTAGTTACTTATTACTACAAATTAATAATGCAAAATATTATAAACAAATAAATTGTAAAGATTAGACATTATTGATCCCATGGAGAAACTGATAAGCTACCCAGCAATATTCTGCATTATTGTAATTCGGGTATGTTTTTGTTGTAATTATACTATACATTTGAATGCAGGACTTTTACTTGTAACAGAATATTTCTTCACTGTGGTATTGATATTTTTTATATAAGTGAAATATTATGATCAAATTAGTCTTTAAAATTTCACCTAATCTCTTAAAATCTAAAGATTGTATAAAAAAAAATAAAATAGGATTTTTAAAACTTTGGTAGAATGTTTATTTATTTATTTTTAAACTGTGACACACAGGCACTGTCTCATTTAATCCTAAAGTGCAATAGGCTCTTAATTCAGTAAGGCAGTTATTTTTCATTTAATGGGTTTGTATGACACATTTACTGGCAAGGGAAATAAAGAGGCAATAAAGTAAAACAGTCCAGTAAAATAGTTTATAAAATGAATAAAATGCTGCTTTCTCTTACATCACCAGCAGAGGGGAGCATTGATCTTCCCATCACTGTTACAAAGCTGCTCACCAGCAGGAGTATGTGGTGACTTTCTTTCTTTCTTTCTTTCTTGAATTTAGAGATTAAAAGAGGTTTGCTGTATTTCTTCTTTACTTTTGTTTGCTGTTGCTGAGCAGCTTCTCTGTCAGTCAGCAACGTACTGAAGTCTTTTTTTTTTTTTATCAAATGTGCACACTAATTATGTAATGAGTAAAAAACTAAAACTAGTTCCCAAATGTTCCCAAAGTGTTAACAGTTATGCTTCTTAAAGTGCAGAATTACTGCATGTACTTCACAATGTGTTGAGGTAAACCTATGTTCTAGTCATGTATGCTTTAGGTCCTTTAAACTATGCTCTTGCATAGCAACAAGTCCCTCTGCAGCCATGTTTGTTGTGGTGATCATAGTAACAGTGAGGGCCACTGAGGGTGTATAGGAAGAGTGCAGAACAAAGCCCTTTGAATTCTGGGAAATTCTTTAAATCTCTCTGGTTTAGTGGATTTCTTTATGTTTCTGATTTGTGTAAAAAAGCATCCTCACCCAACTTCAAGTCTAGTAGCTACAATATGTGTTTCTATAAATACGAGTAGTTGCAAACATATTATTGCCAATATTTATTATTATATAAAATAAACTTGTGGTTTAGACACTTAGACAATGTTATGAGTCTAAATGTAACGGTGTTTTTAATAGTATGAATCTTACTTGCAATGAAACAGATTAAAAAGCTTTAGAAAAGTTGTCCTATCCATCACCTCAAAAGGAAATTAATCACATCCTGCTGTTTAGTGTGCACTCAGGAATGTACAACATGCTTCCAGTATATGGCCATTTCTTATGTTTCCTGTGTGTCAGTGCGTGCCTGGAGAGCGTGTCTGTTTGTGAATGCTGTGGCGAGCTAGAAGGAAATGTATATCACTGTGGGCCAGCAGAGGTAGTATTTCTCTGTCCCTCGGTTATTTTTCACTCCTTCATTCAATCAGCAGGATGCCCCCAAAATACAGAGGCTCCTTAGTGCCTGAGTCCCACCTCAATGTTTTAAGATGGGTTATGACCTACTTAGACACAGATATCTGAGATATCGGAGTGGTATGCAGACGGCTTTAGTTGTGTGAGTTCAGACATGAAGTCTGGAGCAGACAGGATTCCAATTGCTTGGCGTACAGAACACGATTATTTACTCTGACGTTCAATAAGAGGCTGAAAGATCTGGTTAATCTATTCCGTTAAACAGTTAAATGAAACCAAACTGAACGAGTCTCCCACAGGCAGCGATGACCACATCATTCAGTCAGCTGGGAATAAACAGGCATACTCACAATGACTGGTTCCTGTGACTCATAACACCAGTCTGAACTGGAGGTCTGGAGGTCTGATATGACACATTATAGAAGAACTTCAACTAAAACCTCTACTGATGGTACATTGTAATGTAACGTATTAACTGAATGTGGAAACATGTAAGGAGCACCTTGAACTTCTTTTTCCCACTCTGTATGTCATATGCTCTGTATGTTCCAGCACTTCATGCAAGCATTAACAAATCCACTTGTGTATTAAAATCCCCAAAACAAAATTTATTTCTGGTTGCAACATTACATTAAATAAACCAATTCTAGATTCCACATGCATCATTTTATAAACATGTCACTGTGATTCAACCATGCAGGCTAAACTTCTGCATGTACACATTGAAAATAAAGTTCTGAGACTCTGTACAGAGTTCAGCTGTGTTGATTTGCAATGACAGACCCTAGAGTGGGCCCAGTGTAGGCGAAGGGCTGCATAAAATGTCAGTTTTTAAGCAAGCAGGAGGCAAACAGCCTTGTACAGTTAACTGAAACCAGCACAGTGTGTGAAAGCAGGGGCCTCTCTCCATCTGCAGGCACTGGCCAGCAGGAGCAAGAGAGCATTTGGCCTCTGGGGGCTGATTGCCAGCTGCCCCACTCCTCTTCTACCCCGCCTCTTGTGCTATCCATGTCCACTGCAGCACTGTACACTTCAAGCTCCCTGGGGCCTGGGGCTCCAATCACAGATGCAGGCTCTTAACTCCCCTGCCTGTGTGCTCACTTTTCTGGCTCCCTCCTTCTCTCCGCCTGCAAGTGTGCCTCTCAATTGTAGAGGCTGGCTCTTGTACTCCAAAGGGGCCCAGCTATGGCTCCACCCCTCTCACTCTTCAGGATTCAGGCTGCAGCGATGCTGGAACTCTTGGCCATGCTCATGGATCCATTTGTTTGCCACTGGAACATACAGAAAGACGCAAACTGTGTTTCAATATCTGAATAAAATGAAGCATAAATGAAAGTTTTCGTGCCTTTTAAAGCTTTGGATAATTGTGTAGAGTCGTAACATTAATTTCTGATAATATATGGTTGCTAGAAACAACACAGACACCTAAAGCTTCTGCAGCTGCTTTATTATGATTGATATCCTTCTGTTAGTTTAACTGGGTCCCTAGCACACGGTTCAGCGCTGGGAGTTCGATGGTCTGGGCCAACCAGCAGCAGATGTTAAGCTTCCAAGATGAACACTCAGTGTCTCAACTGCACTCTGTAACATCTCTAAATGCATAATGCAGCACACATGTGGCCTGCCTCTTGTACATTAGCTCCTGTATAACAGATGAGCTGAACACTCAATGACTGTTGTGAGAAACAGACCACGATAATCCTAAAAAAAACTCCTAATCTGTTTTAAAAAGAACAAGGAGTCTGATAAATTCCTGTTACTTGCTATTTTTTATTCACGTCACAGTTGGCTCCTATTGACAGCCACATCACATCATACTGAATCTACTGACTCTTACCCCATTTGTCCCCAATAAGCACAGGACAGCCAGCATGCAGCGTGTCTTCGTCTCCTTGACCATTTCTGTGGAGATTCCACCAGAAGACAGCAGCTTTCTGTGAGGTGAAAAACAACATAAATTACTCTCAGTAAGTTTGGTCTAAACTAAGTTTGCACTATCGATTAGTCTTAGTTATTTTCTTGGTTAATCAATTCATCTTTTGGTATATAAAATGTCAGTAAGTAGTGAAAAATTCCCATCCAAGGTGATTTCATCAAATCTTTTGGTGTTTTTTTGTCCAACAGTCCAAAAGAAACTCAGTTTACTATAAGATGCAGAAAAGTATCTCCATTAAGCTATAACTAAGGTTTGTTTGTCATTTAAAATTAATTAATTAATTAAAACTAATCGATTATCACAATAGTTATTACTGTTACTTTTCTGTTGATCGACTAATTCAGCTTTAATGTAAAGGAGATCCTGCAGTTACAGCATTTTATTGGTCATTTTTATGGGGTTTTATGTTCAGTTCTATTCATTATAAAGAGCCAGGTGAGAACTCAATAAAATGAAAGGTGTAAGGTTAATGGCCTGGTAAACTTTCCACTGAAGCTCATTTATCAACCGAATAATCAGCTTCAACCTTCACTGAGGCTCCACTCTACAATAGCAGTATTGTGGCAAAGAATCTCACAGCTGTTGTTGCTACGATCTGACCTTTTAGCATTTTGACAGCTGCATCAGAGAATGCGAGTGAGGAGAAAATAATCTAGCTTGAGGCAAAAATGACACAAAGACAAAAGAAGCAGCTTTTCAGCTCATTGTGAGTGTTTACCTCCACGACAGGAACACTGAAGTTGGCGTAGATGAAGGCTGTGGACCCACCTGCCTCGACAGAGCTGAGCTGTGGAAAAGGAAATTCCTTCAGAGTTGTGTCTTGTGTTTACGTGCTCATGTCATGAAAAGCTTGCAAAGCCTTAGCAAAAAAGCCATTCTTTTTTTTTAAATCACTATCCAATCATACCCAGTTTTCCACATTGAGTTCTTAATGATAGGTTACAAAATACAAATGAATTAACAGAAATTTAAAGGCAGAAATGCAGGAGTAGGCTGTATAACGGAGGTCAGGGACACAAAATAAGAGTTTGGTTTAAGCTCATTGCATGACAGAACAGTATAATTTAGGTAGTGAGGTCAGATCTAGTCTGAGTTTCTGAGGCAGGTTGTTCCAAAGTCTTGCAGCACTCATGGCAGAGGCCTGACCTCTGTGTTTTTAATTAAGGCTTCGGAAAAGCAGGAACAGGAACCTGCCCAGGAACCTCTGTTTGCTATCTGGGTCATACAGGGTCATAGGATGGTTGGAGTAAGACTTCACTCACATATATCATAAAGGTTGCCACTCGATTCCCAGTTTTCAGCTTGAACACAGGACTTGTGGGTGACTGCAAAACAAGTTGATTTATCATTATTAATGTAAGCACAGACAACATGCAAAGACATGTAATGAGCTAGTTAAACAAATCAAACAATCAACCTACCGTAGCATGGTCAAAGTGAGGCTCATAATGGCCGCCAATCCCATAATTCACCACCTGGAGGTACTCGCCATATGGATGCTTCACATATAGACCAGTGAGTCTGGAGATCTTCTGGTCCAGCTTTCCAACAGTGGACTGTGCTGAGCCCTTCAGCCATGCACTAGAAAATAAGAAATATTGATTGCACTGCAGCAATGGTCCAGCCTGCTCCAAGAACTAGATTGAATTAAGTAATTGATGATAAACAGATTGTCATAAACAAAGTGTGGTTAAGTAATTTGTACCTCTTGCTGATGCGGTACTCAGCTGTTGCTTGTTTCTCTCCAGTTGCCACCACAGATCTTCTCAACTTGACAGCAAAGACAGAAAACAGCAATTTTATGTTTATGATTGTTACAGCAGCCAAGCTTTGATGTCCAGCTGCAAAGCAATGACAAAATGTGAGTAATAGCATGAAACCATACTCACATAAGACAAAATCACAAACGTGGATTAAAAAAGTGTAGTGTACAATTTCCAAAGCTGCTGCGAGGACAAACTTCCATTATTCTTCCCTTCTTCAACTTCTTATCTTATTATTCTGACCACAAATTAAGCAAAAATGTGCATGGGAGCCTTTTTTTTAGATTTAAGATACCCTACTTCCTCTACAGGTATCAGTTTGAAGATCCATTACCTCAGAGTCTGAGTCTGGAAGGGAGTCTGGGGAAGTCCAGATGTTTTGGACTGCACTTCTTAAAACTGAGCCTCTGTGATTTATTTGGACCTCTGAATCGTCACACTGCATTCTGCTTATTTCATACACGTTTTCCAATTTGCAGTGGGTGCACAAACTGGCACAGTGTTCTACGTAGAAAACTGGTCACGCAACATTTCTGATTAATTTTGCAGATCAGACTACTGATGAGTTCCTTATGGCCACAAGGGACATTACTTCATTCAACACATTCAGGGCTCACACAAAGCAGTTTCTAAAGAAGGAAACTGTTAATAAAAACTGAAAAAAATAATTATAACCAACACAATGACTGATCGGTTAACTTCGAACAACATTTCTGTGTTACTGCTAGTGTACATACTGGGTCCTTCCAATAAGGCTCCAGCGTATAAACTGTGCACACTGCTTCAGACTAATGCCATACCCCGGGCCTGTTTTCAATAAACCACAAGCTGACATAATGATGAAATAAATACAGGGGTTTCCATCTGAGCAGAGGATGGAAAACTCGCGGAACAATGCCAAAACCTCACAGAAACTATAGGGCACCAATTGAGTTAGCCCACCAAATATTCCCTTAAGTAACTGAGTCAGAGAACTGTGAGGACAGTGCACTGCAGCTTTCCATTAAATGAGCAGAAACTTCAGTTGCTTTCAGATAGATACTGAAGCTCGATGATAGTAGACTGAATATTTACCATTGGAGCCCAGCAGGGTAATTTGGATAGTTTGAGGGCATTAGCCAAGTTTTCATAGTAATGTATCCCTCATTCCTTTAAGCCTAGCTAAATGTTTGGAAGCAGACCAACTCTCCCTCCATAAGGTCTTTCCAGGATCGTTGCAGTCGGAAAAGGTACACGGTTGGCTTAGACCCCAGCAGCCCCACAGCAGAGCAGAGTAATATATGCGTATTTAGGAAAAAATATTCTATATGTAGGCACCTTTACTCTTAATACAAAACAAATTTCAACCTTAATTCAAGGCCTTGTAGCACAATGTTGCCCCTTGATTTCAAACTACTTTTCCTATTCGATGCACTCATTGCAATGACAAAGTATAATCATCAAACTGTATTAACTAATGTTTTAATAATGAGAAAAAGTTCTCATTATGCAAAATGGCCCAATTCAGAGACTTACACCATAATACATATATAACATACTATTATACAATTATTGCATTATTATTATGAATGCATTCATTTATAAGCAGTATTTTACTGTCGTAGTTGGTTGAGTTGGAGCTAATTTGTAGTTGTAGGTAGTTATACACTGGAAGTTTAGTCTATAACAATTCACATATGTTAGAGGCTAATAATATGTTTTGTATATAAAGTTTTAACCTGCAAAGTGCAACTTAAATGTTTTGTATAATACTTCCCAGTAGTGAAGGAGAAATAAAAGTGGCATTAAATGGAATTATTCAAGTAAAAGTACCTCAACTTGAGTAAATGTATTTAGTGACAAAGATAAACGCTTTGTTTATAACTTTTTAAACAATTAAATACTGTATTGCCTCCAAAGAGCACAAACTCTGTGATGAAGTTGAGGCAAACAGAACCAATGCAGGTAAACACGCAGTTATGTTACAGGATGCTTAGAGTCAGAAGGCAAGAAAACATCAATAATATTGAGAGTGATGAAGCTGTAGCGGATGACCAGTATCATAAAGTGTGATACCTTATGAGTATTATTATATGAATCAGTAAAGATCAGCTGCAGTGTCCCTGCCTATGCAATTTGTACCACTGGACATTTACAGTACTGTAGTGTGTGTCTATACTCAAGGCAGTCTATAAAAGATGGACTCACACAAGGAAGTCCCCTTTAGGACAGAGGCCACAGTAAATATCTTCATTCAAGATTGCACTACAAGTGTAATGTAAAATTTTAGAGTCCTGCTGAAAGGCTGCCAATTTCATTACACTTTTAATTTCAGAGAAATGGAAAACTAACATCTCGGCATCTGTCCGGGTGGCCTGAAGAAAATTAAACTGTGCCTGGAAACATCCTGAAATAACAGTGATAGCCAACATCAACAGAGGGCAATGTCTTGGCAGAAAGCCATAAAGACAAACAATATCCCTGGTTTTGGTTTATTTTAAATTGTAGGAGAAACCAGTTTGAAAAGACCTGATTCTTCAATGCGAGACTATGTTACAAGGTGCTCACATTGCAATAGAAAAATATTTAATATTCTACCATGGTTCTTCTATTTGTTAACTTCAATAATCTTCAGCAGACTCTCTTGAACTCCTGCGGTTGCCAAGAAAAAACTTTGCAGCTTCGCTTTTTGTGAGTCCCATGTGGAGGAAATAGCACAGCTCCTCTGTTTGTTGAGAAAACTCGACAAAACAGGGATTACAGAACCACAAGGACCTAATTGGATGAACTAAAAATGCATGATTGTAAGAACATGGCTCTTTTTTTAAAAAATCCTATAAAGCTGACATATTGGCGACACATGTTTTGTTTTTTACCCGCATGTGATGAGAGAAATTGCACACTGCTGGCACTTACTCCTGATTGGGCGAGCCCCTTGATGTCCTCAGCTTCTGTGTCCGTGATGAAGTTGTGGTACAGGACGACATACGGCTGCAGGTTCAACACTTCACGTCTTACTGGCAGCAGCAGCAGTCCGGGGTCTCCGTTGGTGAAGTAGTCGCAGAATAGTCTGGGATTTTTAAAATGCATTGGCTGCTAGGAGAAAGAGCTGAGGTCCATTAACAAGATCAAAACAAGAATTGTTTTTCATCCGCAAACAATTACACTTTTTTGGGAAGGAAAACTCCAACTACACACTTAATAAAGGTTGAAACTTGAGAATTTTGACAAATCTGTGACAAACTACTTGGAGCTGTTAAAATGATTTTATATTATTTTTTATTTTAAATACTTTTAGCCATGCTAGCTATGGGGTTTAAGAATGGCAATGGTGGTCAGTCCACTATGGTTCAGCCTTAAATATCTCAATATAACAACTACTGGACTGATTGCTAATGAGTTTTTGTACAGACATTCATTGTCCCCAGAGGATGAAGCCTACTCTGCCTTTTACTCTAGCGCCACCATAAGGTTTAATTTGTCATTACCAACTGTCTGCAAAACTTTACTTTGGTGCTAATTAGTAAATATTAGCATGCAAACACAATAAACTAAGGTGGTCAACGACATAATAAACATTATGCTTGCTAAACATCAACATGTTAACGTTTAGCTCATAGCACCACTGTGCCTAAGACTTTACCTCCAAATGTGATTTATATAAAATAAATACTAAAAACAGAGCTGGAATAATAACACACAGGGAAATAATGATTTTCTTGAAGCCACTTTCTACATTTTCTTTTATACACAAGTTGTGCCCTATAACATTACATATTCAGGGGCAAGACATAATGCACTGTATATTTTCTCTAACATATACCCAAATGTACCATTACAGATCAGCATCATTTGAAAAAATAGGATTTATTGGTTTGTCCCTTAAGGGATAGATGTGCTCTTGAAAACGCAAAGCTTCATGGCACATTTGGTTGGTATTATACAATTAAGAATATTCTGGTTCTCCTAAATTATCCCTGATCCCTTCCAGATATTTTCCTAACACACAGTATGTGTTGAGAATGATTAAATGTGATAAATACCTGAGAGCCTTGGGTCTGGCAGAGTCTCTCGTAAGTGTCCCTGGTTCTTAAATAATTAGAGGTGGGTCTCCTCAGCCCATCGCCCCTGAGTGATTTGGGACTCGAAACCAGCAGCTTCTCGTATTTCTCAACATTCTGCAAAACTCTTCCATTCATTGGATCTGAGAAGAAATGAGTAAACAGAGTAGTCATACATTATCGGGCATTACAGGCTTCAGTTTAGAGAGGCAGGTCATGCTGTTCACAGAAATAAAGACGGTTTTCAAAGAACTGTTTACGCACAGCAGACAGGATTAAAGGGAAGGGAGAAGTTAAATGGAAAGAATTACCATGATGCAGTAACTCCTGAGATAGACTGAGAGCATAGGAGATGTTTCCTGTCTGAAACAATGAGAGGAATTTAGGGCAGTGCAATCCACCGATTATCTTACAAATGTGCACTTAAGTGTTCTTCTTTGTACTTTAAAGTGAGAGAAGGCCAGATGGTCCAGAGCATCCTCCAAAGTTCCCTCATTCTCTGGGCTCCACTCGCGTCCTGTTCCCCTGAAGAGACGCACCGACTCCTCCAACCACTGCACGGAGTGGTAGTAGTCTTCCTGCTCGTAGGCCACCTGTGTAAAATAAAACTCGGGTTACTTTTTTAATTACTACTGAGAATAATTCTGAAGGCGGAGTGTTGACACGCTCAGCTGTCTTCTGGCACTAGACTGAAGAACCAAAAGTCAGCTGGCTCTCGTTCATATACATGCATGGTTGCCAGATTTGGATCAGTTTTAGGGTGATGGACTGATTTTAGCTAAGAATCCACATCCAGTTAGCTGGCTAGCTGTGAGCCAGCCAGAATCAGACCAGTTTCTTCACGTCATTCAGCTGGCATGATGTTGTCACCCAAGCATGCCGGCTTTAGGCTGCCTTTGAATTTAATTATGAAAATATGGCATTTCCCAGTGATGGCAGGCAGGAGGAATGCAGAAGTGTGACGTGAAATAAAGCAGACAACCAACTTTAAAACTTGAAAGTATCCTATTAGATGAATTTAACTTTTGGATTTTGTACCTTTTTAGCAGTGTGATTGTTTCTGATGCTTTTTGTGTGTGACTGGCTGTGTTTTTATTGTGTTTTTTTTTCAGTTCTTATTTCTTGGTCTTGATCTTAATGAGATTACCTGATTAAATTAAAGTTATAATTACATTAGCATTAATTGACTTAAATAGTAACTACAGGATGTAACAATCACTTGTGTTATTTTTAAGAGTGTTATATTTAATTCAGTCATGATTTTCTGCCCATTTTCACTCTGGCTCATCCAGGGCTGCAACTCATGATGTCATTATTTATTAATTGATTATTTGATTAATCTGTTTAAAAAACAGTGAAAATGCTTTACCAGAGCCCAAAGTAATTTCTTCAAATTGCATATTTTGTCTGCCCAACAGTCAAAACCAAAGACATTATATTTAATATCATATCAGATGAAGAAAAGCAGCATATCCTCACATTTGAAAAGCTGGAACCAGGAAATATTTAGAAATATTTGGTTTAAAACAAATTACTGAAAAGATTTGATTATCAAAATAGTCTATTCATTTTATGATGTACTTGTTGATCAATGGACTAAATATTGCAGTTTTAATCTCTTTGGTTAAAAAAAAATAAAATACAGAGTAATACTTTCTCTGCCTGGCTTATTGTCATACATGTTCTCTGCAGCATATAAATTTAACAGATTACACCAGTCTGACTTCTCAAGCAAGTACATTATGGATTGAACTACACCACATCTGTTGATCAAGAACACCTTGAGCATTATTTTTACACTAAGAAAGTCACGAACACTGGCTGCAGTCTCTCTCTTTACCTGGTCTCAAATCCCTTTTGTAGCTGACTTGACTTGATTAAGTAGGTGCTGACTACAGGCCTGACAGCACCCACACAGAAACAGGGTGACATGTGGCTCCTCCCATCACAGATTATGTCCACAACTCCTCCAGACAGCACCCAAACAAAAATTCCAGTGTACCATTTAACCCCACAAACTCAACTAATCACATACACCGACTCATGTATCAACCCAACCACTGGTTTTATACCCAATTCACAACATTACACCCCATAATTTGGGAGTTAGTCTTTAAAGAAGCAATAAATTCTTAAAAATAGTGAATATTCAGCAGATTTCAGTATTTCCTGAGGGAAGCAAGCTGTAAAAATCATTCAAATGAAATAGACATGGTACAAACTTCCTCCTTACAAACCCTGGTTTTGAGGACCGGTTTAACAGCCATATAAAAGCACATGCACGCAGGTCTTTTACTGACAACACCCTAAAACTAAGCATCTCTGTTTACAGACTGCCTCAGATAATCTCAGCCTGATTACAAGTGAAGGCAAGCTCTGCGCTTCGCTCCTAATGCTTCTGCTGCGTGAGATAATGTCTTTTCCATACAAGACGATGTCTCTCCCACACAGTGCCCTGCCCTTACACATCACCACTGTACATAAACAGTGGAATTCATTGTGGGGAACCTTTTTTTTTTCCTTTCATACTTATTTATCTTCACATGAAACGGATTCCCAGGCACGCAATGGGAAGAATTCCACTTTTTTTCAGGCTGACGGTCTGGATTCCCCGCACACAATGACTGACAGGTTTGGGATAAAACTATTTTGCAGACCTTGGGAATGGGATGTTAATTAGGGAAGGGCATTTTCACAGCAATATCTTCCAAATATATTCTTCAAATATCTCTCCATTTCATTCAGTAAAATGACCATGAAGGATGACAGATGTCTTTCAACAAACTCTCATCATGTTTACTTGCTATATTTTAGGAAATACAGGTGAAAAGTATGTAGAAGTACTGTAACATTTTGAAGTATTTGTACTTCACTACTTCCATTTAATGTTACTCTAGTCATCTACTTACACATTTTACAGGGCAATTTACTTTACAAGCTCTAGTTACTAGTAAACCTGTGGTTCCCAACCTTTTTGGCTTGTGAACCCTCACAATAAAAGCTTTTTGGGTCTCCACTTCATGTTTCAGATGTCTCTGAGTTGTTAGCAGTTCCACCACAGAGACATTTCTCCTTTAAACTTCCCAGATGGTATTATTTAAAAAAATATTTGAGGCCCAAAAAGATAAAACTCTTCAATGTTTCACAAGATTATTTTCTGTACTTTCCTTTCTCATCAAACCTCTTGCAACGTCTTGGATTCTGAATGCAGGACTTTACGTGTAATGGAGCATTTTTAGATAGTTCTTCACACAAGTAAATACTACTTCTTCCACCAAAGGAAATAAAGAGGAAAAACAACGAGAGGAAGCAATAAAGGAAAACACTTGATTATACCTTTCCAACCAGAAAGCAGTCATCACCAGACAAAGGGACAGACACTGTAGGCAGGTAGATATCAATGGGCTTGCCATTAGTGACTCTCTGGAAACGTCCCCTTACAAGGCTCGCAACTTGAAGAGCATACACGTCCTGCAGCCTCATCAGCCCCTTAGCGGCCCCCTGGAGGTCTTCCAGTTTGGGCAGATCTGCCTCTTCCTCCTCGTAACTGGACCTGAGGGCTGGACAGCAGAGGGCCAATAGGTGAAGTGTGAGGGGGGTGACAGCAGAGGTAAAGGGGGTCTTTAGTTATCACCACCAGATGTTTCTGTAAAGAAGGCAGTGAGCCAACCTTGTGCGTTTTCCAGGGCTTCATTGCTGTAGACAACATTCAGCCACTCTGAATGCAGCCGCTTGATCAGAGTGAAGGCCACCAGCGGGTTTGCCATCGCTGTCGCCGGGCCCTTGTAAAGTTCAGTGTGCAGTCCGGACACTTTGGCATAAAAGCTGTGGGAAAGAACACAGACGTGAAAATGGGAAAAAGAAACTTTCAGTTTCACAAGTAGCAAGTGAGTCCTGGGAACCTTAAGGAGCTCTTGAAGAAGAAAAGAAACAGTTTAGTCAAATATATCCTTTAAAGTTCCAGTGTGTAACATTCAGGAGGATCTACTGGCAGCAATGGAATATAATATACATAACTATGTTTTCATGAGTGTATAACCTGAATAAAGGAACCATTAGTTTTGGTTATCATAGTTACACCTTCCATGGTGGCCGCCATGTTGAACCACCATGTTTCTACATAAGCCCAGAACAGACAAGCTGAACACTGGCAAAAAAAAAATCCACCCTGAAACAGGAACTGTGTTATTCCCATGAGTTTGAACAGTGAAGTCAAATATCTTTCTCAATAATCGCTGTAAATCAGAGCACCAAGACATGAACTCACATAACTTTTATTTAATTTCACCCAAATGAGATTCATTTAAATGCAGCTGTGGGTCTTACAATTTGACCATATCCAAGTTACACCTCCACATGTGCTTTCATCATGATGTCCACAAACTTGTTCCATTATCATTCACAGTCTGTGGAGGAGCCACAGGATTTGTCACTGGATGATATCATCACCACAGTCTTGGATCTCTGCTTCAACTTAAACCGACATAGAGCGGAGTTGTCCTTTAATTCCCCACAGTTTGGAGGTGCAGTGCAGTTTCCTTTGCAACCTCCAAAAAACAACCAATCTTTTAATTTCTAACATGAAAATTGGGAGGAAGAAATAAATCACCCATCTTCAGTTTGTCACCATGCATGTCACTCACCGTTTGATGTCCTCCAGTCTTTCTAACTCGTGGTCAATGTAGGTTCTCAAGTAATCGATCAGCTTCCGTTCAACACTGATCGCCTGCTTTACGTTCAGCAGCGACGTATACATTTCGCCTACAGACACGGGGATCACAGCTACAGTCAGCAGACCCCAACTCACGTAAACACATGCAGGATACTTCATTTCCAGCTCAAAGAAATGAATCTGCTGCCTTCCTCCTACAGCAGCTCCAGTGGCTCAGCTCCTCTCTCCTCAGCTGCTCTGAGGATCTTCAGGTTTTGTCCACACGGGGAATCTTCCTCATCTGCTCTGAGATCAGCTTTCGCCTTCTGTTCATGGGACAGACCCTTCAGCCTGGATCCAGTCAGGGGGATTAGTTTCTCATCGCAGCACGAACCTGTGCAGGTTAATTTGCTCTATAATAACAGGAATACATATAGACTTTATAGAGTTTGGCTCCATTTGTGGAGGCTGAATAAATGAGGCCATCCAGTTTGAACTTTGATTCGTGCAAATAAATGATGCACAATTGATTTTTAACATGGTATAAAGGTATTCACCACTTTCCTTTAACTTTTTTTCTGTCATTTTCAGTCATTTAAATAGGAGAAATGACTGGCCCATTGGCACCCTGACAAAAAAAAGTTGAACGAATGGGTGTTCAGTTTAGAGTCAGTGTGACACCTGCTGGTGAATGCTCTGTATAACAACCACACTGCAATTTGTATTTATATATAATATTTAATATTATGTGTGATATTTAAACACAAGTGGCATTGGGATGTGATGTGCTATAAGGGTTGTTCAAAACAAAGCAGTATACAAGGAATTTACAGGTAACCACTTCAATATTTTCTAAATGCTTAATCATCTTATAATAACTTGATGATAGGAAGGCACAAACATACACACTGAAATAAATTATTCTATATCTATAAATATCTGTTCAGTGTAGCTTCCTTCTTATGGGAAGTGCAAATATAAAATAAGTACAATAATAAGTACAAACAAAACAATATTCCTTTAATACATACTTTAATGACACATATTCACATGTATAATTATAATTCAGTGGCTTTCAGAGTTACACACACAATTTTGACCAGCATCAAACACTACAAGTATTATGCATTCAAGCAATAGATTTGCACCCAGGAGGAGCATAATAATCTGCAAGAAGAGCTTGAAAGACAATGCCCATGTTATTTATTGTGTGATTTGATGCTTTTAAATGTCTGTAATATAGACGGCTGTGTAAGCAATAACTTTCATAAATCCTGCACGATCAGCACTTCATGCTCGTTGGGAGAATGCCAGACTTTATGTAGGATGCCCTGAATTTACTCACTCAGTTGAGCATTAATCTTTATTGGTGCTGCTGGCACAGAAATACGGTCACTGTCTGGTTTATGTTTAACAGCAGTAAATCTGTAAAAGCTAAAACGGTGCCAATGTATCCACAAAACCAGAGGGTACCCGAGGTTTAATCGATTTGTGATTTATTCTTGCTCAAAGATTAGATTTAGCTGTTATCTTCTTTATTTTAATAGTCTGTAAATCTTCAGATTAGAATGAATGGACATTATTCTTCAGTCCATTTATGTATGAACACAGTAAATATTTTCACAGGGTTTCTAAGTTCAATTTAAGACTTTTTAAGACCTTTGTTGATACAAAGAATGCAACTGAATACCTGTTTCATGATCATACGACCAAAATGTTAAAATATGATGGAAACATATTTATTATTATATTACATTTTCTCCAAACAAGAATTTCAAATAATATTATTACCCTGATAATTGGCATAAAATGGAAGGAAACTGGATCAGGTGGAACAGGTCGTCTAGTAATCCGAAGTTTGCAGGTTCGATTTCCGCCTCCCTCAGTCCAGTCAACACGCTCTTGGGCAAGATAATAAACACCAAATTGCTCCTGTGTGTATGTGCTGTATCAGCAGCCACCTTGCATGACCTTTAGTGTATGAATGTGTGTGTGAATGGGTGAATGCAACAGGTGTAGTAAAGTGTTTTGAGTGGTTGGTAGACCAGGAAAGCACTGTAGAAATACAAGTCCATTCATAATTTACCATCTGTTTACACAATACACTGTACAAATAATCCCACTTTTAGTTTATAAGTGTGTAACGTCTCCCAACAGCCCACAATTGGATACAAAACATTTTATAGCTAACATTATGGCCTACAGCTGGGGTGGGGAATTGATTTTTAATACCTCCTAAGACCTTTTTGTGAAGAAACAATGCTCAGTGTTTCTCTTTTGTAACAGCTCTACATCAGCCAGTTCAACAAGCAGACAATACGTCCTGCAGCTTGCCTCTGATGCAGGGTTTGACTTTGTTTGAGCAGCAGAGGAATGTCTTTCCAATGTAGCCCCCGAGACTCTGATCTCTGAAGCCGTAGATGAGCGGGCTGAGAACGCGTGGAATTAGGATGAAACAGAAGTAATTAAAAAAGGCGACGTCCTCTTGTAGCCAGTTGGCGTGCAGCACTATGAGAGTTTCAGTGATGGGGCTGGTGAAGGCCAACATGCAGAGCAGCAGCTGAAAGCCGTGTAGCAGCACAGTGTGCATGGCTTTGCTCACAGACACTCTATCTTGTCTCAGTTTCCTGGTTTCCAGCAGGATTCTCATGTATGTAAAGAGGATGATAACAGCCACTACTGCAAAGAAGAGAACACTCACAACAGCTTTGAACAATGTCTGAATTGGAGATGAGTTCACAACAGTAGGTTTGCAAAGAACAGGGGTAGATAGGACATCTACAGCAGGATCATGTTCCCCGATGGTGTGGTCAATCATAGGGAATATACAGCTGATGAGCCACAGGGACAGAATAATGATCCAGATTCGGTCAGAGCGCCAGGCTGCTGGGCGCTGCAGGGGATAGAAGATTGCAACATAACGCTCCAGTGACATGGTGGCCAGGATTAACGGTGTGTTCTGGAAAGTGGCAGTGGATATAAACAGCAGGGGAACACAGTAGACAAGGGCAAATTTCACCTGGCCCATGACAAAGAGGAAGAGCAGTACAGAGGACAAGAGCTGGAGGGTGTCATTGATCAGCATGTAGGCAAACAGGATGTAACGTGATGTGTCCAGGAACTGCCTGTGAGATGCAAAGATGTTTAGCATGACGACAATGCAGCAGAGGAAGACGCAGAAGAAGGGGATAACCACACACACCTTGATGATCACAGACAGGCTTTTGTGAGAAGTTGCATTGCCTGGAAATTCAGTCAGATTCTGCATTTTGAAACAGTGGACTGAAGCTAACCTGTTAGAAAATAAGTTAAAGGTCCATATACACACTAAAATACAACCTCAGATATACAATGAGAATAGATGTTATTGAATGTTTATCTCTTAAGATAAAAAACCAGCATACTGTATATAAATGAGTGATAATTCAAATAAACTTTGTAAGACAAATTATCTTGTGAAAATAAAAAAACAGACTATTTGCACTGTAACTGTATATAAAGGAATAACAGAATAAAAGAGTACTCCTCTCACCTAAGTCTTCATCAGCCAAATGCGTTGACCAAGCTTTAGATTTCTGTTCTTCTAATCATAAAATGTCTTCAGTGAGCAACATCTCTGGGATGTTCCTCCCCTGATCTGAAGTGTTTGGCCTCATTCATATTTGTTTTGACTCAATTCTCCAAAGATACATTATTTACATGCTATTGTCATAAAAGCATTATGTGGAAAGGAGAAAAGTTTGGGCTCCCCTGATTTTGTCTGTACAATTTAGGACAAAATCATTTCTCCTGTGTTTGTACAAGGGACACTGTCTTTTACATTATTAAATGTTTTTATTATTATGTTTTGTGTAAGTGTCATGTACCAAACCTGCCTGGCCCTCATGGGCTTACAAGACACTACAAACATAACAAACAAGAGCAACAAACATAAAGAGAGAACAAATATAATACACCATACATGTCAAACAATGTAAACCCAAAATAGATAATACAATTTAGATATTTAAATATATATTTATATATATATTTTATTATTAATTAAATTATGTAAATGATCCCAATAAATAGTAAAATAATCTTCCTCAACAATTCATCATACAAATTAGTAAATTTTATTTATTATTTGTATGACTAAATAATTTATTTGTTTTTTAAAAGTAGCCTAAAAGAGACTAAATTTACAACCTTATGTTGTAAATGACAATAAAATAACCTTGAATCTTAAAGGGTAACTCGATTTTGTTTTTACACTCAATATGTGTATTGTTGGAAATATTACTGTATTGACATCATACAGTATGTACAGTGCAAAAATTTATAAAGAAAGAAGATAGAGTTCCCTTTTAACAAAAAAAATGCTCATAAACCAGTGGAATAATAAACTTTCATCCCACCATATAAAAAGCGTCTCTGTTTGGTGGAAAACTGCTTAACCTGCCTCCATGTTGAAACCCTATTATGTAGTACTAATAAAGTACACATGGACAGACTCTGATCTTGTGTGAAAATGAATAGCACTGAGGTGATTTTAGTTTTGGGGAACTCAATATGACTCGAGCACAGACTAAATGTCCCTTTAAGTATTTTCTTGCTGATGCAGAGCAGTATCTAAGTCACTTAACTGGGACTTTTCCTGCTGGACTGGAAAGCTCTCATATTGATTTTTGGCACTGTGGTATTCTGCTGAGTGGACAAAGTCAAGTGAGCAGGTTCAGTTGTTCCAGCTGTGTCTTGTATAATGCAGTTTGTGAACCGTGTTTTGGCAGTGTCCTTTATTTTAGTTTAGATTTAGTGTGACTGTGGAAGTTTGTGAGCTGCAGATGTTGCTGTCAGTGAAGTGAAGTGCAAGAAAAGAGGCCCTGGGCCTAATTAAAGAACTGTCTGTGATGATTCCTAGTTTATATTGGTAATGGGTATCACCGTATCATCAGGGATGGTTTCACCAAGACTAGTCTATACTGTCAGGCCAGTCATAGTTTTGCTCTTCTTGTAAGAAAGACACTTTCACAGAAACAAAGACTTGTTTAAGCTTACCCTCTGAATTAAGAGCCATGCCTCCATGGTGACAATCAGCTATGCCTGCGGTCCAGTGGCACCATACAAGGGAAAGAGTTTTTAGAGAGTGTCTAGAGAGTCCTGTTGGAAATATACAGCACTGAGGACATTATCAGTCACTTGATGAAACTCATAGCAGCCATAGGTCTGAGATTTTATGCTACTGGAATTGTTTTCTATTGTTGCTCTTGAATTGTACCAGTAAAACATACTGATAACTGTTGAAACCTTCCAGTTGGAGTGACAGGAGCTGTATGTGGTCAGCAACACAGGTCCTACTTAAGAGCCTGTTTAGACCTGGTATTGACATGTGTCTTGGGTGATCTAATTACATGTGGACAGACCTAAGCTCGTCATGTGTCTACACATGCATCTCAAGTGACCACTTGTGGTAAACACTATAGGGCTGTACCCTACTCAGAATTTTGTTAGTCAGTGTTCATTATTACTGTCCTTTTGGCTGTTCAATATTAATATTAATTCCTTTTTTCAGTTCAGCGACACAAACACTAAATACCAAACTCTTATATCAGTCAGTCAATCAGTAGCGGCTCTACTCCAAGTCCCTCGTGGATGTCCGAGCTTCTCACCCTATCCCTAAGGGAGACGCCGGCCACCCTCCTGAGGAAACCCATTTCAGCCGCTTGTACCCGGGATCTCATTCTTTCGGTCACGACCCATCTCTCATGACCATAGGTGAGGGTAGGAACAAAGATCGACCGGTAGATCGAGAGTTTCGCCTTTCGGCCCAACTCTCTTTTCGTGACAATGATACAGGGACCGCAATACCTGCTGCCCCGATTCTCCGGGCAATCTCCTGCTCCTTTCTAACCTCACTCACAACAAAACCAACAGGCCAACACCCACTGGAAACGAGTCCAACTTAAGACCAAGAATCCGGACACAACTCTCGCTTTGGAAATACAGGGCTTGGAGGGCCCTGAGAAGTGGCCCCCTCACCCTATACTCCCGCAGCACTTCCCACAGGATATCCTGGGGAACCCGATCATATGCCTTCTCCAAATCCCCAAAGCACATGTATACCGGATGGGCATAATCCCAGGCCCCTTCCAGGACACCTGAGAGAGTAAAGAGTTGGTCTGTTGTTCCACAACCAGGACGGAACCCGCACTGTTCTTCTTCAATCAGAGGTTTGATAATCTTCCGGACCCTCCTTTCCAGCACCTTAGAGTAAACCTTCCCAGGGAGGCTGAGTAGTGTGATGCCTCTGTAATTTGCACACACCCTCTGGTCCCCCTTTTTAAATAGGGAAACCACCACCCCACTCTGCCACTCCTTCGGCGCTGTCCCTGACTTCCACGCAATGTTGAAAAGGTGTGTCAACCAAGACAGCCCCTCAACACCCAGAGCCTTCAGCATTTCTGGACGAATCTCATCAATCCCCGGGGCTTTGTCACTGTGGAGTTGTTTGACGACCTCAGTGACTTCCTGCAGGGAAATTGATGTAGATCCCCCATCACACTCCAGCCCTGCCTCTATCACAGAGGGCGGGTTTGTTGGTCTAGTTGGGTTCAGGAGTTCCCTAAAGTGTTCCTTCCACCGCCCAATTACCTCCTCAGTTGAGGTCAGCAGTGTCCCATCCCTGCTGTACACAGCTTGAATGGTTCCCCGCTTCCCCCTCCTGAGGTGTTGGACGGTTTTCCAGAAGCGCCTGTGTGCCGTCTGAAAGTCCTTTTCTCCATGACTTCTCCGAACTCCTCCCACACCCTCTGTTTTACTTCCCTCACAGCTGCGGCTGCAGTCCTTCGGGCCTGCTGGTACCCTGCAACTTCCTCAGGAGTCCCCCGGGATAACATATCCCGGAAGGCCTCCGTCTTCAGTCGGATAGCTTCCCTGACCACCGGTGTCCACCACCGTGTTCGACAGCTGCAGCTTCAGCAATAGAAGCTTTGAACATCAACCACTCCGGTTCGATGTCTCCCGCCTCCACAGGAATGTAGGAGAAGCTCCGCCGGAGGTGGGAGTTGAAGGTCTCTCGGACAGGGGCCTCCTCCAGACGTTCCCAGTTCACCCGTACTACATGTTTGGGTTTACCAGGTCTGTCCAGTGGCTTCCCCCGCCACTTAACCCAACTCACCACCAGATGGTGATCGGTTGACAGCTCCGCCCCTCTCTTTACCCGAGTGTCCAATACATGCAGCCTCAGGTCTGATGATACGATCACAAAATCGATCATAGACCTTTGGCCTAGGGTGCTCTGGTACCACGTACACTTATGAGCATCCCTATGTACGAACATGGTGTTCGTTATGGAAAATCCATGACTAGCACAGAAGTCCAGCAACAAAACACCACGCTGGTTCAAATCGGGGAGGCTGTTCTTCCCAATCACGCCCCTCCAAGTATCTCCATCATTGCCCACATGTGCGTTGAAGTCTCCCAGGAGAACAATGGAGTCCCCTACTGGAGCCCTATACAGGACTTCATTCAGGGTCTCCAAGAAGGCTGAATATTCTGCACTGCTGTTTGGTGCATAAGCACAAACAACAGTCATAGTTCCACCCCCCCACAGATCGTAGGCGTAGGGAGGCGTGATTCTGGTTACTCGTTAATCAGTTGAAACTGTGTTTTAAAAGAAAAAGCCTGCTTATCTTGGCAGGTAAAAGAGTCCAGAAAAATAATTTGCATTACAGTGAACTAAATACACACTTTTGTGTGTATATACAGGATGTCAGTTGAATTGGCTGTGTTTCAATGGGGCCAAGGATCCATCCATCCATCCTCCAAAGTTCCCTCATTCTCTGGGCTCCACTCGTGTCCTGTTCCCCTGAAGAGATGCACCGACTCCTCCAACCACTGCACCGAGTGGTAGTAGTCTTCTTGCTCGTAGGCCACCTGTGTAAAATAAAACTCGGGTTACTTTTTTAAGTACTACTGAGAATAATTCCGAAGGCGGAGTGTTGACACGCTCAGCTGTCTTCTGGCACTAGACTGAAGAACCAAATGTCAGCTGGCTCTCGTTCATATACATGCATGGTTGCCAGATTTGGATCAGTTTTAGGGTGATGGACTGATTTTAGCTAAGAATCCACATCCAGTTAGCTGGCTACACCTTGAGCATTATTTTAACACGAAGAAAGCCACGAACACTGGCTGCAGTCTCTCTCTTTACCTGGTCTCAAATCCCTTTTGTAGCTGACTTGACTTGATTAAGTAGGTGCTGACTTCAGGTCTGACAGCACCCACACAGAAACAGGGTGACATGTGGCTCCTCCCATCACAGATTATATCCACAACTCCTCCAGACAGCACCCAAACAAAAATTCCAGTGTACCATTAAACCCCACAAACTCAACTAATCACACACACCGACTCATGTATCAACCCAACCCCTGGTTTTATACCCAGTTCACAACATTATACCCCATAATTTGGGAGTTAGTCTTTAAAGAAGCAATAAATTCTTAAAAATAGTGAATATTCAGCAGATTTCAGTATTTCCTGAGGGAAGCAAGCTGTAAAAATCATTCAAATGAAATAGACATGGTACAAACTTCCTCCTTACAAACCCTGGTTTTGAGGACCGGTTTAACAGCCATATAAAAGCATGTGCACGCAGGTCTTTTACTGACAACACCCTAAAACTAAGCATCTCTGTGTACAGACTGCCTCAGATAATCTCAGCCTGACTACAAGTGAAGGCAAGCTCTGCTCTTCGCTCCTAACGCTTCTGCTGCGTGAGATAATGTCTTTTCCATACAAGACGATGTCTCCCCCTCACTGTGCCCTGCCCTTACACATCACCACTCTACGTAAACAGTGGAATTCATTGAGGGGAAACCTTTTGTTTTCCTTTCATACTTGTTTATCTTCACATGAAACGGATTCCAAGGCACGCAATGGGAAGAATTCCACTTTTTTTCAGGCTGACTGTCTGGATTCCCTGCACACAATGACTGACAGGTTTGGGATAAAACTATTTTGCAGACCTTTGGTATGGGATGTTAATTAGGGAAGGGCATTTTCACAGCAATATCTTCTAAATATATTCTTCAAATATCTCTCCATTTCATTCAGTAAAATGACCATGAAGGATGACAGATGTCTTTCAACAAACTCTCATCATGTTTACTTACTATATTTTAGGAAATACAGGTGAAAAGTATGTAGAAGTACTGTAACATTTTGAAGTATTTGTACTTCACTACTTCCATTTAATGTTACTCTAGTCATCTACTTACACATTTTACAGGGCAATTTACTTTACAAGCTCTAGTTACTAGTAAACCTGTGGTTCCCAACCTTTTTGGCTTGTGAACCCTCACAATAAAAGCTTGTTGGGTCTCCACTTCATGTTTCAGATGTCTCTGAGTTGTTAGCAGTTCCACCACAGAGACATTTCTCCTTTAAACTTCCCAGATGGTTTCATTTAAAAAAATGTTTGAGGCCCAAAAAGATAAAACTCTTCAATGTTTCACAAGATTACTTTCTGTACTTTCCTTTCTCATCAAACCTCTTGTAACCTCTTGGATTCTGAATGCAGGACTTTTTTAGATAGTTCTTCACACAAGTACACACTACTTCTTCCACCAAAGGAAATAAAGAGGAAAAACAACGGGAGAAGGCAAAAAAGGAAAACACTTGATTATACCTTTCCAACCAGAAAGCAGTCATCATCACACAAAGGGACAGACACTGTAGGCAGGTAGATATCAATGGGCTTGCCATTAGTGACTCTCTGGAAACGTCCCCTTACGAGGCTCGCAACTTGAAGAGCATACACGTCCTGCAGCCTCATCAGCCCCTTAGCGGCCCCCTGGAGGTCTTCCAGTTTGGGCAGATCTGCCTCTTCCTCCTCGTAACTGGACCTGAGGGCTGGACAACAGAGGGCCAAAAGGTGAAGTGTTAGGGGGGTGACAGCAGAGGTAAGGGGGGTCTTTAGTTATCACCACCAGATGTTTCTGTAAAGAGGGCAGTGAGCCAACCTTGTGCGTTTTCCAGGGCTTCATTGCTGTAGACAACATTCAGCCACTCTGAATGCAGCCGCTTGATCAGAGTGAAGGCCACCAGCGGGTTTGCCATCGCAGTCGCCGGGCCCTTATAAAGTTCAGTGTGCAGTCCGGACACTTTGACATAAAAGCTGTGGGAAAGAACACAGATGTGAAAATGGGAAAAAGAAACTTTCAGTTTCACAAGTAGCAAGTGAGTCCTGGGAACCTTAAGGTGCTCTTGAAAAAGAAAAGAAACAGTTTAATCAAATATATTGGTTTAAAGTTCCAGTGTGTAACATTCAGGAGGATCTACTGGCAGCAATGGAATATAATATACATAACTATGATTTCATGAGCGTATAACCTGAATAAAGGAACCATGTGTTTTGGTTATCATAGTTACACCTTCCATGGTGGCCGCCATGTTGAACCACCATGTTTCTACATAAGCCCAGAACGGACAAGCTGAACACTGGCACTAGATAGGGCCGTTCACATTTTCTGTGTGTTTTGCAGCCACTGTAGTTTGTCCTTTTACACATGGAAGGGGACAGTGAAGCAAGGGAGTTGCAATATGCAACAAAGACGCCAGATGCCACTAAGTCCTACACACTAGACCTTTAAAAAGACTAACCAATTTCAACCTCCCAGAGGCTTCATCAGGCTGGAAATAGTAAAAATTGTATATCTGCTACAGAGTACCTATAGCATATATATATTATCTATACATATATTACATATATTATGATGTTATATATTACTACTACCATCATACAGTATATTGTTGAATAAAGCTGGTGCATGAAGTTATTCTTTTTCCAACCTCACACCACAAAAAAAAAAAAAAAAACTACCACAATTAAGCTACTGTTTAAAATGTCTCGGTCAAACAGGCTCCTCCATAAAGTCAGAGGCAGTCACTTTCACAGAGAAACTGTTGAATCATGAGCATAAATTGGTGGGAAATGACTTATTCCCCATCAGTCGTCCTGTTTCTAACATAGTGAGGGTTTTCTGACTGGAAGAAAGAGCTGGCAATAAAACCTTAAGACTTATTTATTCCAGTTATTGATGTAATTGTTTTCATGCAAAAAAAACCCACCCTGAAACAGGAACTGTGTTATTCCCATGAGTTTGAACAGTGAAGTCAAATATCTTTCTCAATAATCGCTGTAAATCAGAGCACCAAGACATGAACTCACATAACTTTTATTTAATTTCACCCAAATGAGATTCATTTAAATGCAGCTGTGGGTCTTAAAATGTGACCATATCCAAGTTACACCTCCACATGTGCTTTCATCATGATGTCCACAAACTTGTTCCATTATCATTCACAGTCTGTGGAGGAGCCACAGGATCTGTTCATGGGACAGACCCTTCAGCCTGGATCCAGTCAGGGGGATTAGTTTCTCATCGCAGCACGAACCTGCGCAGGTTAATTTGCTCTATAATAACAGGAATACATATAGACTTTATAGAGTTTGGCTCCATTTGTGGAGGCTGGATAAATGAGGCCATCCAGTTTGAGCTTTGATTCGTGCAAATAAATGATGCACAATTGATTTTTAACATGGTATAAAGGTATTCACCACTTTCCTTTAACTTTTTTTCTGTCATTTTCAGTCATTTAAATAGGAGAAATGACTGGCCCATTGGCACCCTGACAAAAAAAAGTTGAACGAATGGGTGTTCAGTTTAGAGTCAGTGTGACACCTGCTGGTGAATGCTCTGTATAACAACCACACTGCAATTTGTATTTATATATAATATTTAATATTATGTGTGATATTTAAACACAAGTGGCATTGGGATGTGATGTGCTATAAGGGTTGTTCAAAACAAAGCAGTATACAAGGAATTTACAGGTAACCACTTCAATATTTTCTAAATGCTTAATCATCTTATAATAACTTGATGATAGGAAGGCACAAACATACACAATGAAATAAATTATTCTATATCTATAAATATCTGTTCAGTGTAGCTTCCTTCTTATGGGAAGTGCAAATATAAAATAAGTACAATAATAAGTACAAACAAAACAATATTCCTTTAATACATACTTTAATGACACATTTTCACATGTATAATTATAATTCAGTGGCTTTCAGAGTTACACACACAATTTTGACCAGCATCAAACACTACAAGTATTATGCATTCAAGCAATAGATTTGCACCCAGGAGGAGCATGCTTGTGTCAGTGTACTAATCTGCAAGAAGAGCTTGAAAGACAATGCCCATGATATTTATTGTGTGATTTGATGCTTTTAAATGTCTGTAATATAGACGGCTGTGTAAGCAATAACTTTCATAAATCCTGCACGATCAACACTGCATGCTTGTTGGGAGAATGCCAGACTTTATGTAGGATGCCCTAAATTTACTCACTCAGTTGAGTATTAATCTTTATTGGTGCTGCTGGCACAGAAATACGGTCACTGTCTGGTTTATGTTTAACAGCAGTAAATCTATAAAAGCTAAAACGTTGCCAATGTATCCACAAAACCAGAGGGTTTAATCGATTTGTGATTTATTCTTGCTCAAAGATTAGATTTAGCTGTTATCTTATTTATTTTAATAGTCTGTAAAGATTTAGAATGAATGGACATTATTCTTCAGTCCATTTTTGTATGAACACAGTAAATATTTTCACAGGGTTTCTAAGTTCAATTTAAGACTTTTTAAGACCTTTGTTGATACAAAGAATGCAACTGAATACCTGTTTCATGATCATAACGACCAAAATATTAAAATATGATGGAAACATATTTATTATTATATTACATTTTCTCCAAACAAGAATTTCAAATAATATTATTACCCTGATAATTGGCATAAAATGGAAGGAAACTTGCCCATAATGACAGAATGAGCTTGTTATGTAAGGCAGTGGATCAGGCAGAACAGGTTGTCTAGTAATCCGAAGTTTGCAGGTTCGATTTCCGCCTCCCTCAGTCCAGTCAACACGCTCTTGGGCAAGATAATAAACCCCAAATTGCTCCTGTGTGTATGTGCTGTATCAGCAGCCACCTTGCATGGCCTTTAGTGTATGAATGTGTGTGTGTGAATGGGTGAATGCAACAGGTGTAGTAAAGTGTTTTGAGTGGTTGGTAGACCAGGAAAGCACTGTAGAAATACAAGTCCATTCATAATTTACCATCTGTTTACACAATACACTGTCAAAATAATCCCACTATTAGTTTATAAGTGTGTAACATCTCCCAACAGCCCACAATTGGATACAAAACATTTCATAGCTAACATTATGGCCTACAGCTGGGGCGGGGAATTGATTTTTAATACCTCCTAAGACCTGTTTGTGAAGAAACAATGCTCAGTGTTTCTCTTTTGTAACAGCTCTACATCAGCCAGTTCAAGAAGCAGACAATACGTCCTGCAGCTTGCCTCTGATGCAGGGTTTGACTTTGTTTGAGCAGCAGAGGAATGTCTTCGCAATGTAGCCCCTGAGACTCTGATCTCTGAAGCCGTAGATGAGCGGGCTGAGAACGCGTGGAATTAGGATGAAACAGAAGTAATTAAAAAAGGCGACGTCCTCTTGTAGCCAGTTGGCGTGCAGCACTATGAGAGTTTCAGTGATGGGGCTGGTGAAGGCCAACATGCACAGCAGCAGCTGAAAGCCGTGTAGCAGCACAGTGTGCATGGCTTTGCTCACAGACACTCTATCTTGTCTCAGTTTCCTGGTTTCCAGCAGGATTCTCATGTATGTAAAGAGGATGATAACAGCCACTACTGCAAAGAAGAGAATACTCACAACAGCTTTGAACAATGTCTGAATTGGAGATGAGTTCACAACAGTAGCTTTGCAAAGAACAGGGGTAGATAGGGCATCTACAGCAGGATCATGTTCCCCGATGGTGTGGTCAATGATAGGGAATATACAGCTGATGAGCCACAGGGACAGAATAATGATCCAGATTCGGTCAGAGCGCCAGGCTGCTGGGCGCTGCAGGGGATAGAAGATTGCAACATAACGCTCCAGTGACATGGTGGCCAGGATTAACGGTGTGTTCTGGAAAGTGGCAGTGGATATAAACAGCAGGGGAACACAGTAGACAAGGGCAAATTTCACCTGGCCCATGACAAAGAGGAAGAGCAGTACAGAGGACAAGAGCTGGAGGGTGTCATTGATCAGCATGTAGGCAAACAGGATGTAACGTGATGTGTCCAGGAACTGCCTGTGAGATGCAAAGATGTTTAGCATGACGACAATGCAGCAGAGGAAGACGCAGAAGAAGGGGATAACCACACACACCTTGATGATCACAGACAGGCTTTTGTGAGAAGTTGCATTGCCTGGAAATTCAGTCAGATTCTGCATTTTGAAACAGTGGACTGAAGCTAACCTGTTAAAGAGAAAATAAGTTAAAGGTCCATATACACACTAAAATACAACCTCAGATATACAATGAGAATAGAAGTTATTGAATGTTTATCTCTTAAGATAAAAAACCAGCATACTGTATATAAATGAGTGATAATTCAAATAAACTTTGTAAGACAAAATATATTATCTTGTGAAAATAAAAAACAGAGTATTTGCACTGTAACTGAATATAAAACCAACATACAGAATAAAAGAGTTCTCCTCTCACCTAAGAATGTCTTCATCAGCCAAATGTGTTGACCAAGCTTTAGATTTCTGTTCTTCTAATCATAAAATGTCTTCAGTGAGCAACGTCTCTGGGATGTTCCTCCCCTTATCTGAAGTGTTTGGCCTCATTCATATTTGTTTGACTCAAGTCTCCAGAGATACATTATTTACATGCTATTCTCATAAAGCATTATGTGGAAAGGAGAAAAGTTTGGGCTCCCTGATTCCTGATTTTGTCTGTACACATAGGACAAAATTACTTCTCCTGTGTATGTACAGGGGACACTGTAGATTATTTTACATTATTAAATGTTTTTATTATTATTATTATTTTTTATATGCACCAAAACGTGCCCGGCCCACATGGGCTTACAAGACACTACAAACATAACAAAGAAGATAAGCATAAAGAGAGCACAAATATAATACACCAAACAATGTAAACCCAAAATATATAATACAATTCAGATATT